GCAATTCACAATGTTCCCTCATGTGACCCTGTCGGTGATAGATTTTAAACTTGGAATGTTTACTATATTGAAAAGTCAGCTGATGAAACCTAAACACATAAAGAATAAAGCCATGCGGGTAATTGTGGAATGTGCAAGAGATACTCAAGTAGTATGTGTGCGATACATACTTGCACTGCCTACTATAGCAGTTAGGCTCAAAGTTCTACAAGCAGTCATATTTCAGAGTTATAGTCTTGAGTTCTTAGCCATACGAGTGCTTGCGTTACCACCTTCAAGGCTTCCATCGAAAATGATTCATAGGTTCCTCAGTATTTGCTTTCTGTTTTTAAGTTTCCAATTTTGAAGCTTGTAACATAAGCTTATTCAGTTCTCTTGTCTAGAGGAGCGGTTCTCAAACTTTTTTTCGCCGCGGCACCCCTGTCGGGCTAAAAAAAACTTTCGCGGCACATCTACCATTAAAGCGGTTAAATACTTAGGGAAAGACGAAAAACGGTGCAAATTTAACATTCAGTTGTCTTTAATGCGAGGAATTAAACTGTTTTGATGCATTTTTATTTTATTTTATCCTGTTCATTTTTGGAAATTCTCTCCTACATGAATGACCCTGCTTATAGAGATAATGCGCAGCGTTTGAAGATTTCTTATTCTTAATGTACTAAATCAGAATGATTGCATTCCAGATGCCTCTTTAACACACACATGCACACACACACACACACACACACACACACACACACGTATAAAGACACCAAAAGAACACATTACCCGTAAATATAAATATTTACTTGACCAGGCTAACAGTTACTTCTGTACAGACTACAATTTCCACCTTAAAATTTCAGTCAAAATGTAACCACAACTTTACTTATGGACTGCACCTTCACGAATGCAGGTAGAGGATCGGTCGTACATACCTATGTAAATACAAGGACAATTCTTAGCATGTTGCTATTGGCATTTTATGCAATATAAAAAAAAATGTATGAGTGTAAAACAAAAAATACTAGTTTCGACAGTTGCGAGGGGAAACAACTTAAATTGTAACTTTCAAGTATCTATATGTCTTTTTTTAATAATTTTCAAATTTTTTGTCCTTGATTAATGTCGTGGCACCACTGGCGTACCCTCGCGGCACTCAGTTTGAGAACCGCTGGTCTAGAGACCATAAAACAGCCGCCTTTTCTGAGTCCGTGACAGTGCCAATTTCTGCACACCAGTCAATCTGTCGACAGTTGCCTGTAGCTCTTGGGCTGTCTGTAAAAAAACTCTCCTGTCGCCCCCTTGTGGGATGCAATTTTTTGTTATTTTAAGCCCTACCCTGGCTCTTGCCCGCGGCCGCAACATAGCCCGGCCATAAATATGGTCTAATGGCTGAACGAGATTTCTGGGACCTCTCCACGGGTGATCCTCATTTACATGATGGCACTCTGTGTCATCGGGTGTTCATCGCTTGTGTGATGTCCTGGTGGGGTAAAAGAAGATAGATGTTGCCTATCGCTCCCGTGCTAATATGCAAAAGCATCATCAGTAAATTGCAATATCTTTCCAACGCCTAGTTCTTTAAGTCCTGCAGTCTTGCCTGTATACACACTGAAAAGCAGTGGTGAAACTGCAGAACCTGGTGTAGTCCTGGGGCGAAATTACATGGCTCTAAGGTCCATGTACCTAGGCGAAGGGTCACCAGACGTGAATGCAGGACAGCTGCTGCCCAGTTCATGCTGGTGATTAATTGTAGCCAACCTTTTTTACACATAAGTACTATGGCGTTTTCGTTGCTGATTGTCCGTACCAACACAGGACTGCAGGTTACCCCGGACTATAACCGTACGGGTGTCCAGATTACAACTTATGTAAAGACTGGACGGGGTATCTGGAATCTGATTATAAATAGTTAAAACAGACAAAATGATCGATCCTTTCGGCATTTTTCGGTAATCACAAGGGACACTACTCTATTGTTTTGTTATTAGCGTAACTATTGCATGCTGTTGGCACATATGTGAATTCTCTCTTGTGAATGATCATTGATATTCAGTTTTACTGATCCATTTAAATGAGTGAGCGACGAAAACACATTGCCTCAACCGCATTATGGTAAAAATCGATTTAATTAACTACATTTTAAAAATATGTCAGTTGGCAGAGATTTCAAAATTAAAAATAAAAATAATATTAAAATTTTCTCATTTCTGAATCATTTATCGGCTGTCCTCCGAATAACGGGCACATATTATGGCGGCCGCAAAAACACCCTAACAGGGCCTCAGTCACATGTCAATTGCGCACTTCCGGCGACTTAATAATTAAGTTAATTTTCGGACCTCCAGCGACTCACGCCACCGTCGAGAGTATCTCCCATGCTCTACGCGCGGCATGGATTGGGGCTAAACTAGATGGCTGGGACTCACTAGCAGCAGCTTCTGCATCTCCTGCAGCTTTTCTCATGAGTTACGGCCATCTAGTTTAGCCCCAATCCACGCGGCGCGTAGCGGCGTGGAAGATACGCTCGGCGGGAGTCGCAGGAAGGCCGCACTTTAATTCGCTGGAAGTCTGCAATTTACATGTGACTGAGGCCCTGTTTTTGGCTGCCATAAAATGTGCTTGTTATTCAAAGGATAGCCCATTTATCATAGCCTAGAGTATGTAGACTATATAATATACTAGCTGTACCCGGCCACGCGTTGCTGTGGCATAGTTTGGCTAAATGGAAATGAAAGAAAATAGAAATCGCACGTGTCTAATACAATCATTGTCTGCTCAGATATGGAGATAGTCTTTGATCCACCCCCCCCCCACCCCACCACCGCCACAGCTAAATCCACCTACTACTCTCTCCCTCATCAAAAGTTTTTGGAAAAGAAAGACAATGGAAATCGCACCTGTCTAATATAGTTAATGTCGCAATCATTCTCTGCACAGATATAGAGATAGTCTGGTTTTCCAACTTTATAACACACACCTTAGAATTGTGTCCTTTATTAATATTAGTGGTCGTTTAAATGGTGCTATTAGCACAGTAGCAAAAATGCTTATTTGGTTATCACATGCTAAAGCTGTTTGTATTTTTATAGGGGACGGAAGTAAAGCTACAACTGTACTTGTGAATAACAAAGTAAGTCGTTAAAAAATAGAAAAGTGGAGGTAGCGTTAGTAAAATATAAACAAATTAGGTAATGAGAACTTGAAAATCACATGTAAAGCTCTTTAAGTTCTCTTAAATTTAAGTCATTACCCCCTCCCCTCCCCTCTTCCACCAACTACTGCTCTCTCCCTCTTCGAAGGATTTGAAAATCACTACCTGGCGATATTTTGCTGTTGCTGTAACTGACATTCACATCCCTGTCCATCTGGACTAAAATGGGGAGCAGGAATTGTAATAGGTAGTGAATGGGGCTAGTGTAATATTTACCACATCATCCTTCAAGTACCAGTACAACTACTAAAATAATTTCACTGCTATCTGTGTTACCATCGGAATAGACAGAGAGTCGCAAGCCAGAAGATTTGGTTCCGCATGGCTAGTGCTGTCGCCACAGACTGGTCAGGTTAGGATGTATAATTTCACTTGCCGACAGAAGAACGCCATAACCTTACCGGCGGTCTTCACATGAGAGCACTATGGTGTAACAGCCCAACCACAACTATTACTGCTGCTGCTACTTTAAGTGGGTAAAGCAGTTACTGTGACTTAAAGCTCTCTCAGTTAATAGTTTGCCCCCCCCCCCCCCCCCCATATAGAATCGTCATCCCCACACGAGCAAATAAAATGAGGACGCTGAAGGAGATGCGGTAGCTGCTGCTCATGGGTCCCAGCCATCTAGTTTAGCCCCATCCACGCCGCACGTAGCGGCACGGGGCAGACTCTGCGGCGAGTTTGACTCGGCGGTTTGTTCCGTTTCTCGAAATTGTCAACAGACACTAATCCTAGTTTTCCTGCGATGTGCTCGTGACCGCAAGTGCGCAACTGACACGGAGGATAGCCCAATTTTTAGTTATTTTAAATCCTCACCCTGGCTATAGTGGGCTATAGAAGCCCAACTCTAAATGTAGTCAGGCCTTAAAATAAAAATGGCCTAACGGCTAAACGGGGTTTCCAGGATCTCTCCACAGGTGATCCTCATCCGCATGGTGGCACTTTGTGTCACCGGGTTATTATCGCTTGTGTGATGTCCTTGTGGGGTACAACATACATATAATATCAGCTAATATTATTATAATATTAATATCCGTATCAGTATATAACAATAGACTAGCACCAGAAACTGAGAAAGTTAATTAAAAATTTGGGCTATCCGAATAACGGTCCCTAATTATTGAGGCTGAAAATATACCCTAACAGGGCCTCAGTCACATGTAAATTGGGGACCTCTTCCGTGACTACACAGGAAACTGGGAAAAAGCTTCCACCGAGTTAAAGTTACTGCCGAGAGTATCCGGCGACTGTGCCGCCACCGCCGAGAGTATCTCCCGCACCACTATGCACGGAGCAGGGCTAAACTCGATAGCTAGTACTCACGAGCAGCAGCTACCGCATCTCATGCAGCTTCCTCTATTTTATTTGCTCGTGAGTCCCAGCCATCTAGTTTAGCCCCGCTCCGCGGCGCGGGAGATACTCTCGTCGGTGGCGGTATAGTCGCCGGAAGAGGTCCGCAATTTACATGAGACTGAAACCCTGTTAGGGTATATTTTCGGCCATTATAATTTGGGACCGTTAGGATACTTTTTATTTCACAATATTTATATTTGGCTCCTGTAAAATTAACAAATTTTTAATTTTTGTGGTTCTTGTTGTTTGCATCTGTTGTCTGAGACTGAAAGATTTGAGTCATCCAGATAATTAGCTTTTTGTAGCAGGATTACTAACGTGTTAATAATAAAATGTTTCCGTCATTAGTGCAACACCAGCTCTTGAAGTCATTCACATAAGCCCTTTACTGTTGGATAAAGATGATAAGTTGCCATTCATTGAAGTAAAGTAACAAAAAATAATCACAGAAATGAAGGCAAAGACTTTAGAACAGCTAAAGGAACTTCAACACCAGCCATCACAAATAAGAAATATTTGCATCTTAGCTCATGTTGATCATGGTAAGTTTGCTTCATTGCTGTCTTTTTGTGTGTTTTTTTGTGTTGTTAAATGTCGGTATTTTTAACATACATTTACAGTAGCCTTGGGAATCTACACTGTGTGGGGGGGGGGGGGGGGATGCAGTTATTGAGTTTGACTTTTAGTGTATGCTTTAGAGCAGTGCCCTCCCATGTGGGTTCTGGGGTCCCATTGTGGGGGGGGGGGGGGGGGGGTAGACCCACTGATTTCCTAACAAATATTTTATTAGACTCAACTAATTAGAGTTGCCTTCGGAGTCGGAGTCCATCTGCCTGAGAGGTCAGGAACCGACGGTCTGCATACAAATAAGCCAGATCAGTTAAAAAAGATATGACTGCAAAACTAAGGTCCTGGAACAAGACTGAAGGCCAGAAGGGGATGAACAGCCAGAACTTTCTGCCAGAGTTTACAGCCAGTGAATGTGAAGAAGAACAGTGACTGTTAAGGCAGAAACAAAACAAAACTGATTGGGTGTACACTTTTGGTGGATCACCTGGAAATTTACACTGACAACACTGGTTACCATAAGCTGAACATTGCACAATGGTTCTCAGCCTTTGGGTCGCAACCCTTGTGTGGGTCGAACAACCCTTTCACAGGTGTCGCCAAAGAGCATTGGCAAACACATATTTACTGAAGTAGCAACAAAAAATAATTTTATAGTTGTGGGTCCCCACAACGCAAAGAACTGTATTAAAGGGTCGCCGCATTAGGAAGGTTGAGAGCCACTGCTTTGGAAGGTTCAAATTAGTGTGTATAGTAGGTGTGTGTCGGCGTCTGTGGCTTAGGTGTTGCGAACACGCTTTGTAATGCCAGGGTGCCGGGTTCGATCCCAACTGCGGGCCTTGTGTTGGTTTCGACAGGGGTATCGAGAAGGTGACCATCCGAGAAAACAATGGCAAACTACTGGGGCAAATTTGCCTAGAAAAACCACAACAGTAAAAAAAATTATGGGGCTGGTTCTGCAATGTCCTGTAAAGGATACGCAACAAACTTTTAACTAGTAGGTGTCTATGTCATTTACTGATGGAGAAGGGCATTCACTTGTTTTTCCTGGATTATCTGTAAACTTATATCTGTCACTTGATCTTACCAGCACAGGACTGCTAGCGACACCTGGCAGGTATAGCCATTACAGGTACTCTAATTATAACTTCTTTGGATTTGAACAGAGTATCTGCGATCTACCTTGTTGGTCTGCCGTCCAGATTAAGATTTTAAAACCCCAGGATGGTAATTTAGCAACCCAGAGGGAACGAACTGATCAATCAGTCGATCTCTCACAAGAGATGGAAGAGTGCGAAGGGTTAGGGATTATCGTGGCAACTGCTGTTATTTTGGTGCATTAATTATTGTTACACAGTGATGACTGTTACACAGAAACAAATAATGATTATTATAGTGTCAGCTGATGATTGTTACACAGAAACAAATAATGATTATTATAGTGTCAGCTGATGATTGTTACACAGTGATAACTGTTACAGAGAAACAAACAATGATTATTATAGTGTCAGCTGATGATTGTTACACAATCATGATTGTTCCACAGCAACAAATAATGATTATTATAGTGTCAGTGGATGATTATTACACAGTGATGACTGTTACGCAGTAACAAATAATGATTATTATAGTGTCAGCTGATGATTGTTATACAATCATGATTGTTACACAGCATTCAACTAATGATTATTGTAGCAAAGTATCAACTGATGATTGTTTCAGAACAATATTAAGACGGTGGGTACCTGGTTTATATGTGGGCAGGGGAAATACCTTATGTAATAATTTTGCATATGTATGGCCAACTTATTGTGAACAGCTACTTCCATCAATGATAAACTGCATTTCTAATGGCAGCAGCTGTTGGCTCTAGAAACTTCTGCCTGTGCATGTTTCTGGATTATGCTGTGACTAATTGTTTGTGCATCACTTGTTCAGATGGGGCAATGAGGGACATTTCATTTGATTTCCACTAGCACAGGGATGGAGCTGGTATGGGGTGATACGATTGCAGTGAAGTTGAAACCTCGACTATGACTAAGAGCAATATTCAGCTGTTTATAATAATATAGAATTTACCAGATGGTTATTAGAACATAAAATTCAGCTAATGATTTTTATAACAAGTGTTGAATTCAATAGCTGGTTATTGTAAGACAGAATCAGAACATGAGTATATGATGAACACATTTTTATGTTATTAACATAGTCTACAGATAATTAGTAAATACTTTTTTTTCTATAACAGGGAAAACCACCATAGCTGATGCCCTAGTAGCCAGTAATGGAATTATTTCTAAAAGGAATGCAGGAAAGGTGAGAATATTTTATATTCATTTCCTTTTTTCTCTTTCACATAACCAGCCCTTTATTCTATAAAAATGTTGCGGGTATTCACCACAATTTATAAAAGGTACTGGTACCCACCACAGTTTATAATAAAAGTACTGGTACCCACCACAGTTTATAATAAAAGTACTGGTACCCACCACAGTTTATAACAAAAGTACTGGTACCCACCACAGTTTATAACAAAAGTACTGGTACCCACCACAGTTTATAATAAAAGTACTGGTACCCACCACAGTTTATAACAAAAGTACTGGTACCCACCACAGTTTAAAACAAAAGTACTGGTACCCACCACAGTTTATAATAAAAGTACTGGTACCCACCACAGTTTATAATAAAAGTACTGGTACCCACCACAGTTTATAACAAATGTACTGGTACCCACCACAGTTTATAAACTGGTACTGGTAACCACCACAGTTTATAATAAAAAGTACTGGTACCCACCACAGTTTATAACAAAAGTACTGGTACCCACCACAGTTTATAACAAAAGTACTGGTACCCACCACAGTTTATAATAAAAGGTACTGGTACCCACCACAGTTTATAACAAAAGTACTGGTACCCACCACAGTTTATAATAAAAGTACTGGTACCCACCACAGTTTATAACAAAAGTACTGGTACCACCACAGGTACTGGTACCCACCACAGTTTATAATAAAAGTACTGGTACCCACCACAGTTTATAACAAAAGTACTGGTACCCACCACAGTTTATAACAAAAGTACTGGTACCCACCACAGTTTATAATAAAAGTACTGGTACCCACCACAGTTTATAACAAAAGTACTGGTACCCACCACAGTTTATAATAAAAGTACTGGTACCACAATTTATTTTTTAAAAAAAAGGTACTGGTACCCACCACCATTTATTTCAAGAAGATTCCAGAGCAGCTTAGTTGGAGCAAAAACTAGATCAGGAGCAGACTGCTTTAGTGACCATGTTCCAGTTATAGGAAAAATTAGAATAAAACTAAAGAGCATTAGAAAAAAAACACAGAACATCAAGTTAAATTTAGGAATTCTTAGAACGAAATTAAAGGTACCTGTACTCACCACAGTTTATAATTAAGGTACCCACCACCGTTTATAAAAAAAGAGTTGGTACCCACCACCATTTATAATGAAGGTGCTGGTACCCTGAGAAAGGTGAAGACAGTGATGCTTCGAGCAGAGTGACAAACTTCACTGGGAAGGTCACAGGTAGTGAGCATACTTTGGATCTTATCTCCAGGCCATGCCATATTAACGTGAGATTGATCATTTTTCATATTTTAATATCTCTTCTATCATCAGCTTTTCCTCACATATGTGGATGTGTCTTAATATGTTTGTAAATTTGAAAATAATGCTCGAGAAAGGAAAAGATAGGGCTTTAAGTGTTTCAGGCTGTATCCAATCAATATATTTTTATTCCTCTTTTTGTTTGTCCATGCTTATGCCAGTAACAGAATGGACATTTTATGTTTTTCTGATTTCGATATTCATTTCTTAAATGTGCTTTTGTTATAACATGGTCAACATGTTCTTTGAAAGACAGGCTGCGATAAAATCTCTCTCCTAGGTATGTCATCAGATTTGTTCTCGTCAAAATTTTCTCGCAGCTTTCCACTGCTGGTAAATTTGCCTTCACTATATGCATTTTTAAGGAGAACTACGTTACTGAGGCCTTCAAAGGGTTGACATGAGCATTAGAATCTACACAGGAGGAGATGCGATCAAGTTCACTCTTCCATGTTTGTATACCAAGAAGTCATCATCAGATGACAAGGTCCTGCCACTCCCATGCAATTGCTGCTCAGTTATCAGCACTGTGTACACATTAAATATAACTGGAGATAGGGAAGAACCTTGACAAGATTATTAGGGCCTGGAGAGAATGAGGCACCTGGGTGTAACCAGAGGGTCTGGCCAGCTCACCACACTCAGAGGAAAGGCAAGACGGACATATAACCAGATTACCACTGGTAGCATTGGTATTGGAACTCTTCGCTGGCTGCTGAAGATGAGGACGATGCACACAATGGAATACACTGAGTGCTGTGATGTCAATTCTTGACTCAGCCCAACTCAACTCAGAGCAGGGCCCAGCCAATTATGCAGCCACATGTACCCAAAATTTAGGACAACTGTGTCAGCAGTCAACCAACTGACAGTGATATATATTAGGAGGCAGAATTGCTGATATGGGCAACTTACTTCAGGTGAGCAAAAGAAGAAGAAACGTTGAGTTGGATTAAAAACTGACATCACCACAATTGGGTCACAACCGTATGCACTTTTATCTCCATCTTTAACAGACAACGCAGAGTTCCAATTCTAATGGTACCAGTAACAGTCTGATTGTATGTCCATCTTGACTATCTTTATTTTGAACCCTTGTTACTCCATGCTGCTCCATTCTCTTCAGACAGTGGTCATCTATTTATGCTTTCTTGCTGTTTACTTTAAGAAAGAGTTACTTAGTAGATGTACTTCTTCTACATACTCCTGAGAGCTGTTGGCACATTGTGTTATGGTTTACAGCCATTTAGCAAAGCCTTCATTAGTTGCCTTTTACGATGTGCTTTTTAAAAGACAGTACTTTTCCCACCAAAATGGGGCTCTTTAACCCACATACGGAAATTCCAGTGAAGCAGAAGGTGAGGAAAGGCATTGGTGTTGGATAGGACACAATTAGAGAAAATCTCATAACAATATAACTAGAATGTCCCTTTTATATCGTCAGTGTGTCTAGACATGCCAGGTTTATTGTTTGTTGACGGAACATGTACATTTCCAGAAATATGAAAGGAGCAGTCACAGACACCGTGACATTTAGTTATAACAAGTAGTGCAGCTAATACATCATGAGAGGGGTGAACCAGAATACATCATGACAACAGGAAAGCTGGGGGAAAGAGGCAAGGGGAGACAAAGAGAGTGTTAGACAGTTTGTCATAATGGTATGGAAGAGCATCTTTATCAGAAATAGTTAGACATATAACTAATACAATGTGGTATTAGGGACAAAACAAAGAATAATTTGTTCAAGTCCTTGAAACCTTTTTTTTTTTTGTTAAGTAAATTTTGTGGTTAGACACACAGGCGTAAAAAAAAATTTTTCCCAAACTTTTTCCAGATTCGCTATATGGACAGTCGAGCCGATGAGCAGGAAAGAGGGATAACCATGAAATCAAGTGCAATTACTTTGATGTATGATAAACAAAGAGGTTGGTGGTTTCACATTAAAAGTATATCACAAGGGAGTTCTACTTCTATACACATAGTTAGCTTTGTCCGAATGAGTTTTTGTTTTTGTTGTCCAGAATACTTTTCTACATCCCCATATGGGTACAGAAGCCCTATTTGTGGGTAAAAGGGGTGGGGGTATAGAATAGATCCGCTGTCTCTCTAACAAGCATGTCATACAAGGCCACCAATTAGGGCAGTTTCCTTCAGAGGCAAAGTGCATCTGCCTGAGAGCGAGGAACCAACAGTCTGCATAAAATTAGCCAAATCTGTAAAACAGATGTTCACGCAAAACTCAAGTTATGGAACAAGACCAAAGTACAGGAGTGGGCGAACAGCCAGAACTTTCCGTCTGAGTGAACACTGAAAGAAGAAGCACTTCTCTGCTTCTTTTTCTGTGCTCCCCTTAAAAAAAGGAATTTGGCAAGCTGTGTTGTAGTTTACAGCGATACTGCAACATCTGCACCTTTTGGCTCAAAGCATCCAAGTTCATCACACCCTCGAGTTAGCCCTCTTTTACATTATGGTTGTTATGGGACAACAATACCCACAACTCCCTCCCCCCCCCTTCCCCCTTTTCCTTTATAGCCCAGGAACTCACTTTGGCATGTCTCTACACAACACACTGGAAATTTGTAAGAACTTTCCCCCAATGCCAGAAATTAAAAAAACTTACACAAACTGAGCAAATGCATTGTACTGAACTTCAAACTGTTTAAAACTGGATTTAGAACAGAAATAACAGTTTATTTAAATATTTCCTTTGAGTAATCATCATCATTCGGTTAGCGGGGTAGGGGTATCCCCTATCAAGGAGAAGTAAGAAGCCCTCCTTTCCTCCGCTAGTCTACGGACACCTTGGGCAAGGTGGGAGTACCCGTTTAGCCCCCCAGATCAGGGTTACGTGAAGCCATGGAAGCAGGTGGTGGATTGAGTGTAAGAGCAGGCCGACAGGTATTGTTGGTTATGTGTCTGCACTCTGCGAGCGATAGGCAGATGATCTCATCAGTAGAGGACAATGGCTATGGCCACCGCTCACTAGTATATTCACTGCTCAGGAGGAAAGCAACAGGAAAACTACCTTCTGCAAATTTTGCCAAGAACCCATAAGAATCATGAAAGAAAACATAACACAGAAGAGATCTGGTGGCGAGACCCCCAGGCAGGCAGATCAGATAACACTGGGGAAGAGTGTGATACAGGGGTCAGATAAGTACTAGTAATCGTGATGACGGAGTTAATCCTGACTGTGTTACCAAGGAAATCCCACTGTGTCAGACTAATAGAAACAGAATGCGAATAGGAAACGTGAATGTGAGAAGTCTGTATGAAGGAAAGCTTAAAGTAGTTATGTGATGCGATTGGGAAAGATTAAATATTCAGATCTTAGGAATTTTGTAACATCGTTGGAGTGGCAGGGACATTTTATCAATGAATATGGAAGCTTTTTCGTATATTCTGGTAGAGATGTAAGAGGGCCAGAGCGGAGTGGCATTTTGTTTAGATAAAACAACAGCAAAAGCTATTCTGGGATATATCCAGGTTAGTGATAGAATCCCTAACTATCAGACTTAAGGGGGCGGGAGGCCGTCTCCCAAAACATAACTTTTCATGCAGGTATATGCACCAACTTCAACCGCAAGAGATGGCGAAATTGAAGATTTTTTATGCCATACTGCACAAGACACATTAAATGATAAATTAATCGAGAAATGATATAATACATCATGATGGGGAGATTTTAATGCCCTAAAGTAGGTACAGGCAGAGCTGAAATGTAGAGACACGTTTTTAGGAAAATTTGATTGGGTAATAGAAAATGCACAGGAGACAAAATGACTTGAATTTTGCATAGAAATGAATGACACATAGCTAACACACTTTCATAAATAACAACACCCTAGGAAGGCTTTTCACATGGACATCCCCTGACGGTGTTACCAAAAATCAGATAGCTTACATTTTAATACAAAGAAGATGGAGGATCGAGCATAACATCTGCAAAAACCATGCGAAGTGCAGATTGCGATACAGATCATCAGTTCTAGAACAAGCAGATCTGAAATTAAAACTCAAAAAGCTTACCCGAGGACCAAGGCCACTTTCGATTTGCGATCTCACAAAAATACCAGATGCATACAACGTAGAAGTGAAGAACACGTTTTTGAGGTCTTGATGTCTGTACAAGAGGAAATGACACCCTGATTGACACTGGCAGGTACAAGCTATGGGATATCTTGATAACAGCAGCTAAAGACTCTAATACCCACCAGGGACTAAGCAAAATAAACCATGGATCACACCATAACACGTTAGAACTAATAAAACAACGAAGGGAACTGCAAAAAGAAAGGAGAAAAACCAATGACAGTAGGATGAAGTATAAATTTTTTAACACGAGAATAAGAAAGTACACAAGAAGGATAAAAAATCAGTATGTACAAGATTGCTGTATTAAAATAGAGCATGCATCACAAAAATGGAAGAGATTACGAAATGTTCAAGGAAATGAAGTTATTGACAAGAAATTTTCAACCTCAGTTAAATGTTATTTGTGACAAGTTGGGAAATACTTTAACAGAATCTAGACAAATTCTAGGAAGATGAGCAGGTCAATACTGCAGCGGAATGTATGATATGAATGACAGTGAGGATATGAATGATATACATGAACTCGAAACAGTAGAGGCAGAACCTGAACCTTCATTAGATGAAATTTCATGGGCAATAAGGAGCCTGAAAAAATGGTAAATCACCTGGATGTGATGAGATACCAGCCTGAATTGATTAAAGCTGGGAGGAGAAGAAAGCATTAAAATCTATCATGCATTATGTGAAAAAGATATGGAAATATGGTATTTGGCCAAAAGACTGGAAGAGAACTATCTCATTCCAATACCAAAAAGGGTGACCTGAATATGTACAAACTATCGAACTATTGCCCTGATCAGTCATGCAAGTAAATATCTACTAAAATATTATAATTGAGAAGACTGCAAAAGAAAATGGAAGAAGAGATTAATGTAGCTCAGGCTGGATTTAGACAGGGAAGAGGAACAAGAGATCATATATTTAACATTGCGTTTAAGTAATAGAAGTGTAGAGAATTTAATGTAAATCTGTTCTTATGGTTTTGGGATTATTCAAAAGCATTTGACTGTGTACAACATCAGAAGCTTTGGGAAATCATGAGGAATATGGGCTTTCCATCACATATAGTGCAGCTCATTAAAATGCTCTATCAAGACCAACAAGCAGCAGTCAGTAATAGATGGAGAGACATCAGACTGGTTTTGGCATCAAGCAAGGAGTCCGTCAGGGATGTGTGCTGTCACCGTATTTGTTCAACACCTGTACGCCCGAAAATATAATGAGAATGTAAGAGATGATATAAACAAGTGAAACAATATGATGCCCCTAAACATCGGTGGTCATGAAATACCAGAAATTCGTTATGCTGATGATACAGTATTACTATCAACATCACAAAATGGTTTAGAAAACTTATTAACCTCACTCCAAAGAAATAGTGAAAATCATAACTTATTTCTTAACACAGCAAAAACAAAGATAATGCATACAAACAAAACTGCCATGGAGAAAGGAAATATATGTTAATGAGGAAAGATTGGAAGTGGTGGAAAATTTCGAATATCTAGGGTCACTGGTTACCAACAATGGTGACACAATGAAAGAAATTAAACGGCGACTATCAATTGCTCTTCAAAGACTAAAACAACTGAATAAATTATGGAATTGTACAGATAGAATTACAAAGGTCAGAGATTTTTAAGAGCATGCATCTTTCCCATTGCAACATACGCCTGTGAGACCTGGACACTTACTAAACAAGCGGAACAGCGCATAAATGCATTTGAATATAAATGTTACAGACAGGTTCTAAGAATATCTTGGGTAAAGAAAAGAACAAATGCATCCATACTTCAAGAGCTGAATATTGAAGAGGGTTGGCTAGTAAAGACAATAAACAAAGAAAATTGAAATATTTTTGGTCACTTGAAACGTCATGGAGGTCTAGAGAGAACAATAATGGAGGGGTATATGCCTGGGGAAAGAGAGGAAGAGGGAAGGCCAAGGAGAAGATGGGTGTCCGATGTGGCAGATGATCTCCAGATGGGTGTATCAGACGCAGGACATCTTGCTCATGATAGGAAGGTTTTCCGGAGGGTTGTTATGGCAGCGAGGTTCTGCGAGGGACATGCTACTGAATGAATGAATGAATCATCATCATGCATGGGCTCCAGCAAGACAAACCTGCGTGCCCAGTTTGTGACCCTTGAAAAATAAAGTTTCGTTTGTTCGTTCCTTCTGTGGAGTCCTTATATAATTAGGTCCTAATAAAGTTCCATGCTGTCCTCTCAGCATCCCCATCGTAGTCTTGTTTAAAAAATAATTCATTATATATCTGACTGTTTCATATTTCAGTTCTCCAAGCATTCATTTGTGGTTTGTAAAATGGCTTTCAGGTAGTGAAGCAGTGTCGAAACATTACCTGATCAATTTAATCGACTCTCCGGGTCATGTGGACTTCTCTAGTGAAGTGTCAACTGCAGTCAGGCTGTGTGATGGTGCTGTGGTGGTAGTTGATGTGGTTGAAGGCGTTTGCCCACAGGTTTGTCTTTATCTTGTCTGTAATTCATTTATGTGATCCCCTTGTGGATTCCTGGGTCCTCTTGGGGAGGGGGGGGGGGGAGAAGCATAGACCCGCTACCCTCCTTATAAACAGATTGTAATAGTAAGTCAGGCAATTAAGGGTGTTTCTTTTAAAGTGGCAGTGCATCTGTCTGAGTGGCGAGGAAGCAGCAGTCTGAGTACATTTCAGCCAGATCTGTAAAACAGATGTGCATGGACAACTCATGTTCTGGAACAAGACAAAAAGTCCAGAATTGGATGAAGAACCAGAACTTTTCACCAGTTTACAACCAGCAAACACGAAGAGAAAGAATAGTTCTTTTCTGAGAAAAAAGGTATTAGTGTGACATATGGCTGTTGATAGGAGCCGAGATAACGCAACGGCTAGATGCTCACCGGCCAGTCCTAAGATCTTGGGTTCCAATCCGCACTAAGTCAGATTTGTTTTTTAAAATGACCTTCGCTGCTAGGTTTACCAAGCCTAAAATAAGGTCACAAGTCAAGTCCTGGAAGTAGAAGTGGGCGACGGGATGTTAACCATTTCATTAAACGAGTGCCCATTACTTATAATACTATGAGTCTAGCAGTATAAACTAACTTGCGTAAAAAGTGTCTTTTCAAATTGTTTTGGCTTGAGAGATATACTTTAGTTTACAACTAGTTTACATAAGTATTTTTTTTTTAAAATATGAGCATTTGAAAGGTGTGTAACAGCAGAGTTTAGAGTATTTGGTTCATATCTTCTTATCGATGCGATATGGAACTGGCGGTTAAATCTCTTGCATGCTTCCCTTTTAAATTTCCCAATTCCTCGATGTAATTCAGTTTCCCTTTTCTTATTATTTGCCCAGATATTGTGGATTGATGCAGGTATCAGTTAGTTACCATGCAATGCCAGATAATCAATAGTGTGCACCAGGCACCATAAGTGATGACATGGAAGATTGACATCAGACTAGTCACTGAATCCCTTAGTGAGCTTAGCCACAAAAGCCAGTCGTGAACAAATCAAGTATAAAAAGGATTATATGTTCCATTAATAGATAAAAGATAGAAGCAGAAGCATAATAAATTTCATTGCTATAATTAAAAAAATATTGCAGTGGCATTCATATGTTACACTCTGGTTGAGTAAACTTATGTTAATTTCTTCAGATAATGCTGTAATTTAAAGAATGACAAGAGTGGCTGTTGCACAACATATGGTTAGTTTCCATTATAAAACGAGTTAATAAGCTGTTATAATACAGTCAGTTCAAGAGTAAACATGTTACAAATTTATTATATCTCAAGACTCAAGCTGTACTGAGGCAAGCCTGGCTGGAAGAGATACGCCCGATTCTGGTCCTGAATAAAGTTGATCGTCTCATATCACAGTTGAAGATGGTTCCAATCGAAGCATACTATCGCCTCATTAAGATTATTGAACAGGTAATTGTAAATTGTTTCTTTGAGATGGATCAGCCTTTCAGCTGGTTATAAAACTTTCTAATCAAATATCTGCGTTTCCTTAATTTTATCTGTCTCTGCTAAAAGGTACAAGTGTTGTACAGCATAAAAAGTCAGCATTTAAACATGACAGCTGAAAACCTTTGATATTTATTTCATTGACAATGAAAATTCTAATAAAGGCAACCTTTCTATCAATAATCGGTTCTTGCTAATCTTATTTCAGCTTCATAGTGAACGGGTCACTCCATTGTTGCTCCGTTCCTGTGCCAACAAAAGACACACAGAATGTCCATCACTGTCCCGTTGAGGAAAGATTGGCAGACTGCTGTCTCAGCATATGCACCAGCATACACACACGTTAAAAGCATACAGTAGCCATCAGAAGTGCTAACACAAACAGTCCGACATTAGAAATGCAGTTCATCATCGACGATAGCAGAAGTTACCAATAGATCGATTTTAATCTCTTCTTAGAAGACATAAAATCACATGCGCTAGATTGTCATGAAGAATAAAAGCTGATCAAATTGTCTTCTGATGTTAGTCTTTACTCAGTTGTGGATATCACTTGAAAAAAAAAGAACATCTATGACCCAGTTATACAGCTATCAGACTGTTGTTCGATTTTTCAGTTTCTTATTTGTGTGAGAAGAAAATTCTAGGCCCCTGTAGATTCCAGTGCAGAGACATTAAAATTCTAGTGTTCTCAAGTTTTATCAACCTTTGTCTTTTCCAGCGCCAACATCTTTTCTTCAGCTCCACATTAGTGATTCTATCATACCATTTAATTAACTCTGTTCTGCACAGGAACCAGTTAATGAACTTTTTTAGTTTGTTAGAAATTGTTCTATTGTTTTCCTTCTTTTGACCACGCCAGAGGTGAATCATGCAAGATGTTTTATTAAATCATTTGAAGCGTTTGATGTCCACTGTAAAAATTTCTTGGTTAATTTCTTTGCAAGTGTAAAGGGATATGGGGGAATTATAAACTTGTCAAATCTTCCATTATGTGTATTTTATTTTGGTCATACATATTTTTTCATTCTACAGTTGCACCAAATACCTCTAATTATCTTTCTTTTTTAATAATAGTTAATGTTTCAATTCCAATGCACACACACAAAATTTGTCATTAAAGTGAGATTGATCCTTTTTCATATTTAAGTATCTCTTGTCATCAGCTTTTCCTGACAGTTGTGGAAGGTGTTGCTTATTTTGATCGTAAATTTAAAAATAATGCTCGAGAAAGGAAGATAGGGCTTTGAGTGTTTCAGGCTGTATCCAGTCAATATATTTTTATTCCTCTTTTTGTTTGTCTATGCTTATGCCAGTAAAAGTATGGATTTTTTTTACGCTTTTCTGATTTCAGTATTAATTTCTTAAATTTCAGGTGAATTTGCTCATCAACCAGCTGTTTATATCCGAAGCTATGGGGAAGACATCACTGGTAGGTTTCATCATTGTTGTTTTTTTTTTTTTTTAAATTGTATTACAGTCTTTTTAAACCTTACAATATGACAGTTACAGTGGCCATTGTTTGACACACCCCTTTTAAAACCGGAAGTAAGCATATAACGTCAATTAAAATATTGGAAAAGTTTGTCCTGAAATATACCCGACTTTTGCACATGTTGAATAAAAATAGGTGATTATTAAAAGATTGCAAAATAAGAATAATCGGCAACTAATTTGTTTTCCCCATATGCTAAGTGGAATACATAAAGAGTGTAGGCAGTTATATTGAGCGCTTGTCGCATGATTTTGGTTAGCCTTCTACGGGGTTAATAGACCCTCAGATAACTTTTTTCTAGCTTTCCTACACTCTTAATTCCAGAAAAATTGGACTTGGCATTTATTTTAACAAAGATACTTAAATTTTGTAGGACAAGATGGCTACCACGTTTACCTCATTGTGTTGTCTTTGAGGTCCTAGACCTGCTGACTGCTCTCTGCTGATCTCCAGAGGGCAATGCAAAGCCCCTGACATGTGGAAAGCTCAACTCGTGGATGTGAGGTTATGCAGACATGTATAAGGACGTGATGCTTCCTTGGACCAGAGCGCCTTGTGTCGGCTCTGCATTTTGTGGAAGGATGGCGGGGAGTGCCCATGATCTACCTCTGTCTTTCCTTGAGGGCTGACCAGTCTTTACGTGGCTGCCCAGGCTGGGATCTCCAGAACCTGTAGATAAGGGAACGAAGAGAAAACCACACACTCAAGGCTACCTGTTGTCCCTCACTTATTTCATTCCGCTATGGAAACCTCCCATGAAAGGGTGGGGAGGGGGGGTCACTTATTTTTGTTTACCCTTTTCTGTGAATGTTAAATATCCACTCTACTTAGATAAGGATAAAAAATTAGAAGGCCCATCTTAATTTTGTGCATCTTGAAAATCCCCTGGCATGTGATCAGATGAATATTTAAAATGACTGTAATAACATGTTCTATATGTACAGGACTGAAGCATTTTTGTGTGTGTATTTGAATGCTTATTTATAATGTGAATGTTTTTTTTTTCAGGAGACAACTAAGGATGGATTAAATGATGCACACACTGAAGATTCCAATGTGAGATTCTTTTAAAAATTTTGTATTGTATCTGTCAAATTCCTGATGTTGGTTCTGTGGCCCTACCCACTGCTCCCTTACAAGCATGCCATAAAAAGTGACTAACTAGGGGTGTTCGGATATTGCAGCCTAGCTGTAAACCACAACACATGCCAACTGCGCTTTTAATGGCTAGTGCAGAAGAAGAAGAAGTATCTTTTAAATAAACTTAAAAATTTATATTGAATGCATTACAAGCCTGTGGTTAGTCACCAGCAAGCAAATCAGAGTCAGAAATTTCAGAGCATGCATCTACCCTGTAGCAACATGTGGATGTGTTGTGAACTATCTCGCAGTCATGTATTAACTCATTCATGCCCAATTGACGCAGTGGATTGGAAAATTCCGATTTGCCCAAACAGCACACTCAGCAGTGTCTATTCTACGTCCCTCATATATTCATTCGCACATTGCTCTGTACTAGTTTTTAAATGTTGGAAACTATATTAGGAATATTCAGGGAAGGTTACTCTAATGTTTTTACTTGTTTACTATGTTTGTTTGAATGTTTAGGTGCAAAATTATTAAATTCTTTGTGAGCACCATTTGCAGACAGTGAATTTTCTGATTTCATCTTTGACTGACTATGGATACCAGTGCTGAAAGCACAGTTTAAAAAAAAAAAGCATAATACAGACTGTAAAATATGCCCTTCTGCTGCCGAAGCTCTGAAATCGTTTCAGTCAGATGCTTTTAATTCTATTTCTGATTACGAAAACTTAAATCATTTGGAAAGCAATTCAGAATGTGAATTTACGCCAACAGCACCAAAGTGGTCAGCTGCTAGAGAATCTATCATGGAAAGATATAAAACTGAACAAAAAGTAAATCAGCGAGCTTCACAATATAACAAACACAAAGGAAAAATGAATGTTGCGGCTATAGAGCCCTCATCAGTACAAACATAATAGTTGATTTTATGTTATCGATATAGTTGATATTATTTTGTGAGCTCATGTGTAATAGATTACTATAGAATTTTAAACAATTTTTTTATTCCATCAGTCATATGATTGGACAGTCATTGGGGATGAAGAAGAACATAAAAACATTTATTTCTCACCAGAGCTGGGAAATGTAGTGTTTACAAGTGCTGTTGATGGCTGGGGATTTACGTAAGTTGTTATTGTGACAGTAGTTTGGTTGAAGCAAAGAACTGATTACAATTCTGAATATATAATAAAAGTTTCTTTTTTTTTTTTTAAATCCGAAAATAAATATTTGGCAATGACAATCCTATATGTTAATTTATCTTTCAGAACTATGAACATTTATTTGTATACTGCCTGAGTAAAATCTCATGACTTTCGTGTACTTTGCATGATTAGCATACTCTCTGTTTAGGTTTCGGTGCCTCAGTTTTTTTTTTTTCGAGTGGGGGGGCGGGGGCGATTGTTCTCCTGGAAGTTGGAGTGCATCTGCCTGAGAGATAAAGAACCAACAGTCTGCATACAAATGAGCCAGATCTGTAAAATGGATCTACATGCAGAATGGATCTACATGCAGAACGGATGTACATGCAGTTCTGGAACAAGACCAGAGTCCAGAAGTGGGCTAACAACAGAACTCTCCACCGGAGAACACTTAGAAGAAGAAGAAGGTGAATAATGTAAGAATAATCCAATGACCTTTGATGTCCAGTGCAGGAAATCGTTTTGCGTGGCCAGCATATAAGAATCCAGCAGTAACTAGTCCCAGAAACCTTCAACTGTATCTTCTTCTTAGTGTTCACTGGCTGTAAACTTCAGTGGAAAGTTCTGGTGGTTCATCCACTTCTGGACTTTGGTCTTGTTCCAGAACTGCATATACATTTTTTTTTTTACAGATCTGGCTCATTTGAAGGTTGGTGGCAATATATCCACTGCTGAGTGGAAATATTTATGGAGGCAATATTCTCAACACAGTGTGACTCTGATACCACTGATTGAAAGCCACAAGAACAGCCTTTTTTTTTCTGTACCATCTACGTGGTAATCAAACCCTGGTGAATGTTGAGGATTCCTTTGTGAAAACTCTTTTTTCTAGTTGTTTGTCGACTCCTGGACCTTTGTCTTGATCCAGAACTGAAGTTTTGCATGTACATCTATTCCATAGATCTAGCTTATTTGTTTGCAGGCTGTTGATTTCTTCCCTCTCTGGCAGATGCTCTCTGAATTTGTAGAAAACATTCCTGATTAGTTGACTCCAGCATGCTTGTTGTGAGGGGGGGGGGGGAGCTTCTGTTCTTTGTTCTCCAAAATTAAAGCTCTACCACCCACACGAGAAGCATTGTGAAACAATTTCACTAACCTTTAAGCTACACAGCCATGGTATACTACTAATGTACATAATTTGCCAGTCAATTTAAAGATTCAGCAAACATAATGACTATTCCACCGTGGCTACAGAATATGTCTTCTTCATGATCATTGTCTGGATCAGACATTGACAAGTGTAACTTTCCTGTCATTTTAGTTATCTGATAGTTTAATGAAAGATGTAGTAATGGAGCTTCAGTCTACCTCTTTGACAGACTCTTAGAATACCATGAATCAAGAAGAAAACTGAGGACCCAGTGCAAGATCTGAACAAGAAAAATACAGCATCATGTCTTGGCAACCAAAATACTTTGTATTATTAAATGCTGCAGTGACTTGGGAGGAACAGTAATTGAAGGCATAGTTTTTAGTGAAAGAGACTTCCCCGTGTGGGTTCCGAGGCCCCATTGTAGGGAAAACAAGAATCGACCCACTGCATACCCAAAGCATGTTGTAAGAGTCTTCTAATTGGGGAGCTTCCTTTGAAGTCGGAGTGCATCTGCCTGAGAGGCAAGGAACCAACAGTCTGCACTCAAGTTAATCAGATCTGTAAAACTGATGCACGCGCAACACTCAGGTTCTGGAGCAGGACTGCAGTCCAGAAGTGGACGAACAACCAGAACTTTCCGCCAGAGTTTACAGCTGTTGAACGCGAAGAAGAAGACGTGAAAGAGACTGGTATTGACCAAAAGGAATTTGTATACAGGATATTGGAGGCACCGGTAGGATACCGAAACATGACACATGGAAACTGACTAGGAACTGGTTGACTTTCCTCCTTGTCTGCTTGAACTTCCTGAGTTCTGGACTTCATTTTGAAAAACAAAGAATAAACCCACTGCCACCCTCACTAGCATGTTATAGGAGGCACCTTTCTAAATGTGTTTCCCTCAAGTTTGGAGGGCATCTGCCTGAGAGGCAAGGAACCAACAGCCAGCATACAAATAACCAGATCTGTAAAAGGGATGTGCACGCAGAACTCAATTTCTGGATCAAGACCAAAGTCTAGGAGGGGACGAACAACCATAATATTCTGGCAGAGTTTACACCAAAGGACTTGCTACATGATAAAGTTGAATTCTGTTAGCAAAAGAAATCATTCTGTATTCAAAGATGTATTCACAGAAATTGTCACGCTAGTTAAACATATCTTGCTGTTTGCTAACATCAACTGAAACATGTGTTTCATTTTTTTGTCTTCTTCTCCGTTTGTTGCCTATAAAAAAAATTGTTGTGAGTGCTATAAATAAAAGTCATCACTATTATATTTATCTGCCACAGTGTGGGTGACTTTGCTAGAATGTATGCAACAAAGCTGGGTGTCCGGGAGCAGATTCTTCAGAAGACATTGTGGGGTGACTACTACATGAATGTCAAAGCCAAACGTTTCATGAAAGGAGCTCAGGTTAGTGTATGGTGACCACAAACACTAGTTATTTTTGTGTGTAAAGAAATTTTATTTGCCTGGCAAGAAAATTTTGGTTTTATCTTTGTATCAATTTCTTTTTCGCAGCTACACTTCAGTACCCCCTACTTAGTTTGAAAAGATATCAAACCAGAAGAACAATTTTTCTATGTTTATTCCTAAAAAGGCCGTTGGCACTATGTGTTGTGTTTTACAGTTAGATTGCATTTTTCTGCAACTTTCAGCCCAGCACATTTGATTTCAGCACTACTTAATTTGAGCGTTAAATGAAGTATTATTTAATTTTGTGTAAATAAAAAGTAAGCTAAACCCTTTTCACGCGAGTTTTGCATTGGGCATATGATGCTAGACTCATATTCTTATACATCAGTTGGGACTCGATGGGTGATCTGATCACTTTACTTCTCAGGCTATTGCCTGGTACCTGTTGTGGGTTAAGTCTACTGAGAAGCCAAGGTAACTAATTTCATGTGCTGTTTTCCCCGTGTGGGTTCTGGGGCCCTGTTATAAGGAAAACAAGAACAGACCCACTGCCTCCCCAACAAGCATGTTGTAAGTGTCGGCAGATTGGGGGCTTGCCTCATAGTTGGGGTGCATCTGCCTGAGAGGCAAAGAACCACAAATCTGCATCAAATAAGGCAGATCTGTAAACGGACGAGCATTGCAACACTCACTGGAACAAGACAAAAGTCCTGAGGTGGACAAACAACCAGAACTTTCCGCCTGAGTTTACAGCCAGTGAACATAAGAAGAAGATTTACTTTTCATCTTCTTTGCATGTTTAAGGATTATGCTGCCAGGTGTGTTCTCATATCGAACTCAACTGTTTTTCTTTGTTTTTAAAAGAACAGTAGGCACATTGTATTATGGTTTACAGCTAGATTGCAGTTTCTGCAGCTTTCAGCCTTACAGATCTGATTTCAGCAGCTTCTTAAATAGTTGGCTTTTACAATATGCTTGTTAAAAGGCAGTGGGTCTGTGGTCTGATTTCCCCCCCCCCCCACCCCCTCTCCCCCTTACCAAAAATAGGCTTTCCTAAATAAAACAAGCAAATCATTTTTGAGTTCCACACACTGGAGTCTAGTGTTGATCCATTGCACCACTATTATATCTTTCTTTACTTACTGTGATGAAGACAGTCCTGTCAGATATGTTTATCAGTTTGTATTCTTAGTCTGCACATGAGTAAGTGATGATGATGAGACCTGTTCAGCTTGTTATTGCTTACCCTGAGACAAAGAGTTATATTCTGTGCCTGCTGGTCAGAAATGTGGTAATGGTCATGGAGTAGATTCTCTAATATTGGGAACACTGTGTCCCCATAGTGAGTTTCAATAATCTGGACATAAACAATAAATTGCAGCATTTATTGCCTGCCATATTTTGATACTTTATCAGGTATCTGATCAATTTTTTGTGCTTCATTGTATATTGATGTAACTCTAACGAGATATAGTGAAATATGCCAAGTGATTCTGCATTGTATTGTTATTGTCTGCATTATCTACACATTCTTATAGACTGTGTGGCATGCTTGTTCTCAGAATATGAGATTTTGCTATCTTGTTCACATTCTGCATATTTTGTAAATTTTTTGCTTTTTCGTTTCCATTTCCATGAACATAAGATGAACAGTTAAATTACTGATATGATGACAGATGTTTTTGGTGTTTAACTTTTTAATTACTTTTATGTGTTTTCAGTCAAAAGGAAAGAAGCCATTGTTCGTTCAGTTTGCACTAGACAACATCTGGGCAGTGTATGATGCAGTATTTGAACAGAGGTGACCAAAAGTGACATATATTCTTAAATTCAGATCTTGCATGAATGAATTCCTGTAAAATTCTTCTACCATGCTCCATTTGGTAAATGACAAGTGTGCTTATATGTCCAGTTGGCACTTAAGAAACTGTGCCTGTGGGCACACCAGAAGCTATGCCTGGGGTGGACTAACTTGTAGCAAGAGTTAATCTTTCTCTTGAGCCTAGGATGATCCAGAGGTCACAGCTCTCCATGTCTGGCAGTTCGTTGCCACCTGATTTAGGTCTTGGATATTCATTAGGCCCACGGTTGAGCCTTCCCTGATGATGGTTCTACGCAAAGTCTCTCTTGGTCTTCCCCGTTTTCTTTTCCCTTCTGGTATCCATATGATGAGGGAGTCTGGTCTTATCCATTCTGAATACATGGCCGATGTAGTTCCAGCGGCGCTTTCTTATAAAATTGGATACTTTATCTTGCTTAAGTTAGACTAGTCAAAGAATAAAGATCCAAAATTTGGAACCCACAAACAGTCTGCCTTGCACATAGACTGGTGCAGCCAAATGATAATGGTTGCAAACTTGAAAGAAATTCCTGTCCATCCGGAGAGGCATTGAGTTAGAGGCAGCTGTTATATAACTACCCTTGTGATGATTCTGATTGTGAATTACATAATTACACAATTAAAAAGCCCTTGATATCTTATTAATTTTCATTAATTGTCTGTAATTTATTTTTTATTACTAATTTCCTCAATCACCTGAACTGAACAGACCATGTCACAATTTTTCGTTTACGCACTGGGCACTGCAGACTCAACAGTGGGTATAAGCTAAACAGCTCTCTGTCTGTTAGTATCTTCATGCTGAACAGATTCCAGAACATATCTTGCAAGACTCCTCTCCTGGCGGGGCTACAAATGAACATGTAGCCACGGACCAGTAGACCTGAGAACTAAACTTTGAGGAAACCTAAGAGACTTTGAGATGACATTCCAGTTTATAGCCTGCTGTAGTTTGAGCACGTGACTAGAGTTCGCTGAAGAAGAATATATTACTGAGATCCCTGTGTGGGTTCCGTGGCCCTTTTATATTGAAAACAAGAATAGACTCCCTGCCTACCCAAAAGCATGTCGTAAGAGTCGACTAATTGGAAGCTTCCTTTGAAGTCGGAGTGCATCTGCCGGAGAGGCAAGGAACCAGCAGTCTGCATACAAATGAGTCAGATCTGTAAAACAGATTCACACGCAACACTCAGGTTCTGGAATAGGACTGCAGCCCAGAAGTGAATAAACAACCAGAACTTTCTGCCAGAGTTTACAGCTGGTGAACGCAAAGAAGAAGAAGATATTACTGATAAGCTGCTGGGGAGGAGAGGGTCTATATACAGCAGTAAATAGCATTGATGTGATAACGATGAAAATGCCTTCATATCTGTCTCTTTCTCTCACTCTATGTGTTTCAGTATACCTGTCTCTTTATATGTATATTTTTTTTTTTGGGTTACCGGTATAGATTTGAATGAATAGATATATTTTCACTTCTAATATTGTTTCACTTTTAATATACAAAGTGAAAGTTGAGGAACCACCAGACACATGGAAGGGAAGTTCACTGCATTCAAAAACAAATATCTGGGGAAAATGCTGAAAAAAATTAAAAGAATTCAAAAAGGAGTGAAGAAATAAGAGAAATGTGTGGTTTAATTTCAGCTGTTATAAGACAAGATAAGATTGCGCTAGATTTTTGCATATCCTGAAAATAAACCAATAGAGAATTACCAACACAAACATCAAAATGTGAAATAAAGGGGTTCTTGAGGTGGGGACACCCAACAGAAACCCTAGGACAGATGTTAATGAGAGAGGTCAAAGGTACTGTAAAGCACAGCTGTCTTCTTCGTTGCATATATTGTTGTCACACCCAGGTTCGTGTTTAGGTTTGCTACAGGAGGGGTCGATTGGAAGATTATAGACGAGGAGAAAGATGGTCGTGTCGTTAGTGGTGGTGATGATGATGATGTCTTGCTTGCTGCGTGCTTCTCACGTAACTCTGAGGCTTGTATACAAAACGCCTGGAAACAACTGTTCTTGTCTGTAGTCTTTATTGTGACACTTCAGCAATGACACAAACATCATAAGTGACATTCTAAAAGGCGCTGTGTTTTCCCTATGGTTACATACTCTTAGGTTCGTGTTGTGTTCTTTATCTCTAATTACTTTGTTAACTGGTTCTAGTGTCTCTAACTGCCACCTAGCTTCTAGTGCTGTTTGGTACTAACGTCTTGATCGTTGACTCTAACATCTCTATAGTGTTCCTAATATGTCTCTGTTCTCCATGGATCCATGTATCTTGTGTGTCGTCTCTGTAGCTAGATGTCTCGTTACATGTCTGCTCTCCAGTGACTGTCTTCGAGGTTCCATGTGAACGGCTGCTCTGCTTTCAGTGTTGAGCTGGCATCGAGGATCATGGAGACTAGTCGCTCGTCCTCTGAGTCTCAACGACTGAAGGCTTCTAGTGTTGGGCTAACATCTCTACTGATGAAGGCTGTCTTGAGAGCCCATGTGACTGGCCTCTCCTCTCTTGAGTCTTGTGGACTGAAGAATTGCTAAAGTGCTTTGTTACTCGCTATTTATACTTGGATGCTGGAATGCTAGATATTTGTTTTCTTCTCGCTTTGTCTGCTTCTAGAATATTTCAGTACGCCTTAACTTGTTTACTAGGTAGGTTCTCACGTGGGATTTTCTAAAAATATCTCAATTGCATCAGATTTCATCATCCTATTCTACAAAAATATGGTAGTTAAACTGACAACTGACATCAATAGAAGCTTCTAGAAAAACAAGTGCAATTGCGTTTGCTTTGATAGGGCATGACAACAAAGTATTTACTAGTACGACAGGGTTGGGTCACATGATGAAAAGAATGCATTTCAAAACTTCTAGAAAGAAGGCCAAGGCCAGACAATGACGTCAAATACTATTTATAGATTATTCATTTGCAAAACATTTCTCTGTTAATAACAAACGAAGTTTCTAGAAAAGAATGTCAAGGCTGCCAAAACTTGTTGATTTCCTTATATCCTAGCTTTGTGCCTACTAACAAACAAGCTATCACCCACTCTGTTACAACTGGACTGGATTCTATCCACGATATTGAACTGATTACACAGGATAGAGCGGAATGGAGGAATAGATTGCGAACCTATGTGACATAAAATGGCACAACATGATAATGAATAAATGTGTAGATATATTTTTTGGCTATATCATTCAGTGTGCTTGAATTTCTTTTTTCCTGAACATACCTTTATATAAATATACTTAACAATTATACATCATGTTTTATAATGTATTACATTTGGATGTAAATGTTTGTAATGACAGGGACAGTGACATGATTGAGAAAATTGTCAAGTCATTAGATTTGACACTGGCACCTAAAGATCTTAAGCAGAAGGACAGAAGAATCACGCTGCAGTCCATTATGGGCCAATGGCTACCTTTGTCAGATGCTGTCTTAGGTAACTAGTAAAGATTCATTGTCATTCTGTTCTTATTCTCTATATCCTTTTCATGCTGCTGTTGACACATAGGTCGGAGTGCATCTGCCTGAAAGACAAGGAACCAACAGTCTGCATAAAAGTAAGTCAGATCTGCAAAACGGATGTGCATGTAACACTCAGTTTCTGGAACAAGTCCAAAGTCGTTAAACAATCAGAATTTTCCGCAGGAGTTTACAGACAGTTAACACGAAGAAGAAGAAGGTATGTACAGTGCTGAAGAACAAACAGAACTGAAAGACTAATTCAACAGGGGGTGAGCAGACTTAATCAGGTGGCAACTAGTACTATTAGCATGTCAACTTTTCATTGGCTACTGAAGAAGGGTATGCAGTACATGTGGGAATGTCCCAAGTGCAGTGATGTTGATTGATTGATTGGCTGATTCATTCATTCTTCTTTGTGTGATGGCCATCATTTGATGATTATACTGTAAGGCGAGTTCTTATGATAAATATGTCTATTTGGGGTGTCTTGCGCAAAGCACTCTTGAATTTTGCCCAACTTGGCACTTAACGTTGATACGATGGAGCAGCCTACATTTATTAATTCTCTTTACAAAGGACAGTATGCTAGAATTTATTCATTTGAACTGAGTTAACAACCAACATTGTAGCACACAGTACATTCCTATAAGTGCTCCGTCCCCATCTTTAGCAGCCAGCACAAAGCTATAATTCTGATGGTACCAGCAGTAGGCGGATTGTTTTTCTTGCCCTCTCCCGGACTGTTAAGAGAACTTATTCAACTGTTTATTTCTGTAGTGGTGAAGCTTATGCATGTTTTGTGTCATTATATTTTATACATACATATTTTAACATGTGCATACTCTAAAAGTATTGTTTTTTCTTTTCTAGATACTGTGACCTCACACATTCCGTCACCCTTGCAAATGTCAGAGGAAAGAGTGGAGGAGCTAATGTGCAGCAAAAGTCGCCAGTTTTCTTCCCTTCCTGAAGCTACACAGCATCTTAAGAAAGGTAGTAGAGGTGATGTTCATCTGCTCAAAAGTGGCTTCAGATCAAAATATATTTTTTGCAGATAAATAAAATAAAAGTATATTTATGTAGCCACTATACCATAGCAATACATATATGTAGTCCCTAAGTGGGTTCAGGAGCCCCAGTTTGATGAAAAGGGAAATATACGCACTGCCCCCAGCATGCTTGTGCATAAAAGGCGACCTATTAAGAGTTTGCCTAATTGGATTTGTTGGGCAGAAAGGTGCGGATATTGCAACCTAGGTGTAAACCACAACACAACATGCCAACCGAATGTCGAATGAAACAAAAAGAATATATAGGTATAACTATCAGATGGTGCCTTCTTCTACTGCTACCTTTTATGTCTTTATGGAACTGAACGCTTCATGTTTAGATAGACAGCTGTAGTCCATCCCAGAAGTTTTGCCCAACTTTAAAATCTGCAACTCAGTAACCATTCAGTGTAAGTTGCCGAAATGTTGTAGGCAACCAGTTAATAATCATGTCTTTATAAGAAATTGTTTGCAATGTAAACAGAAATCGAGTTCTCATTTTGCCTTATTTGCCGTGTATGAAAAAACGGACATTGATTCAAAGCAGTCAGCATGCTTACAGTTTTGAGTAACTCGAACTTTTCAAAACATCGGGTTGCACATGTGTCATAGGTGTTTCTCTCTCTTGTGGTCATCTCCAGCATGAGTCTCCCATGATTTGTGGATTTTTCGTTGTATGCCAGATAGGCTGTCCAAATAATCACCACGCATCGCTGCACATACGAATTGATTTCCAAACGATCTCCATGCCTGTGTCAGTTGCTGTATATTTTTATTTTTAGGGGTACACAAATTGTTAGTCAAAAAGATCAGAGAAATTCACTGCTTAAAGAAAACAGCAGCACCATGTGCAATTGTAAATCATAAAATCATAAGGACATGGAAAATCTAAGGCCCCTTAAAAAAATTTGTGTTGATCCATACAGGAGTTTTCGAGATATTTGTTAAGTGTGATGACAGGAGTTTTGAAACGCACTATGCCATAATTTACCAATACTCTTGTCAGTTTGGTTCCCAAAACCATACAGATTTTTCTTGCCACTTCATGCCGACCCTGGTTATTTTTCTCATACAGCATGCAGTTTTTTTTTTTTTTACTGTTCTTTGCTTCCATTATTGAGCACTGTTAACACATAAGCATTGTAACTTATGAGCATTTAGTTGCTCAATCTAAAGTACTTGTTTATTTTAGCGTTTAAACAAAATATATATGTATTTCTACTGTTGCAGATTTTCAAGCCTGTAGCTCCAGTGATGATGTGCCTGTGGTTATTTTTATATCCAAGATGTTTCCAATGGAGAGGAAATGTTTGCCCCAAAATAAATCCAGGTTGTCATGTCATTTCTTATCAATGAAATTCATTTTTTTATGAGTGGATGTTATTGAAGCTCTTTTACAAAATAGGTGCTTTGTGGTTCCTATATTTTCAGTGCTAATTATGTGTACACACTTGCACATAAATGTATACAAATATACTTGCATGTACGCATGCATATAAACAGACGTATAAACATACATACAAATGCACACACACACACACAAATTCCTTCTAAAAAGGCCTTCCAGGAATGCAACCACCAATGGCAGGACTGCTGAGAAAAAGATGTGCAGTCCCAAGGGAGATTGGGGAGCTGAAATAACCAGAGCAACTATGTACTGCATACAAATTAGGGATGTACCGAATAGTGATTTTCACTATTCAGCCGAATACGAATAGCGGGACCAACTATTCAGCTAAATAGGAATAGTGTATCATCATTGGGTGCCTTGCGGACTGGTGTGGGGTGAATATGCCTCGCCACAATCTGCGATCTCCTGCAGCATGTATTAGTTCGTGTGCTGACACACCTCCATGCCATGCTACAAGTCTGTCTAGAATCTTCTCCTGTTGTCTTCCTTTATCCCTCCTTCCACAGATCTTTCCAGTGGTCACATGTTCCATTCTCCCTCTTCTCATAACATGGCCGTAAAATGATCACCGGCTCCTTCTAATGTCTGTGATTAGTTGTCTGCGGGCTCCTGCAAATTTCAAAACCTCTTGGTTGCTTTTTTGTGGCTGTCCAGGGTATTTTAAGCATTGTTCTGTAAAACCACATCTCTGAGGCCTCAAGAAATTGTTTGGCCTGCCTTCCGATTGTCCAGGACTCACAACACATTGCCTTTAAATGTAAGTGCTTACTTGACGAGGCTAACAGTGACTGTTGTACAGACCACATTTTCCACTTTAAAATTTCAGCCAAAATGTAATCACAACCTTACTTATTCGCTGCACCTTTACGAATACAGATGGAGGATCGGTCGCACCTCGAGATAAATACAAAAACAATTTTTAGTACTCTGCGGTTGGCATTTTATACAGTATGATACACTTTGAGTGTGAACCAAGAAAAAAAAAACTCTTTTTGACAGTGGCGAAAAAAGACAATTTAAATTTTAACTTTTAAGAACCTTCATGCCTTCTTTAATAATGTCACAATTCATAGCTGACTTTTCTTTATTTTCGCTGCAGCACCCCTGGCATACACACCCAGTTTGAGAACCTCTACTGTAATGCCTCGTTCGAGTCAGCAGGCAAAGACTTTGCCAGCTGCTGTGCCAAGCAACCGGGTCTCAGTTTCCCCTGCTACGACAGACTTAGGCAACAGCAGCTATTGTTTTAATGAGAGAGTTATTTCAGTCCATCGCAGTGTATGCAAAGCGGGTGTAAGGTAACCACTATTCTTTTTCGGCCTGACCGCAAGTATTCGGCCGAATATCGAATAGTTATTAAGTCCACTATTCTGCCCTGAAGTGAATACAAAGCGAATATTTGGTACAGCCCTAATAAAAATACACACCCAAAAAAAAACAATGAATGTATCAGACAGTCATAAATATTTTGAGACTGAATAATAAAAGATGTTTATGATCCTGATACTGTTTCAGGCCTTTCACAGAGGAAGAGCTTCATGAAAGACGTGCTGAGGCTCGGAGGCGACATGCAGAGATAGTTACACAAAGAGAAAATGCTGCTAAAGATGGTGGCAACACCAAAGAAGTAAAACCTGCTGGTTCTCAGCAGGCAAATGGTCATACATATTTAGAAAGTGAGCTTTAGTTGTATTCTTATATTTTCAACATTAACTGTCAAGTTTCTTTGTATGTAGGATTAAGTAATTTAATTCAGTGTGAATAAATGTGGCTTTGTTGGCATTGAGTAATGTTTCTGCTTCTTTACAGAGTATGATTCCCTCTTGGCATTAAGTTTCAGTTCCTTTGCTATTATTCCTTGATATTAAAATGCCTTAAAGCTATGGGCTCACTAACCAATGGTTCAGATGTCATAATTGTGAACTAATGTATAACAAGCTAGATGTTGTGAGTGAACAGTGCTGAGGCACAAATAGATCATTCTGAAGAGAATGGCCTGCAGGGAGTTACCAGGGCATCTGGCCAACGCTCAACACTCAGGTGAAAGGCGAAAGGATTGGAACTCTTCATTTGATGCTAAAGATGGGGATGGAGCGCTTATGGCAATGTCCCAAGTGCTATGATGCCAATTCTTAATTCAGCATTCAACATTTAGCTCAACACACAAGGACTGGCTTGGATAAGGCTGTGTATTGAGCTGAATGGTTGGCACCTTTCAATTCTTTCCAGACCTTTCACATTGTGCTCTAAGAAGGCACAGAAATCCCAGCCCTTGGAGATGGCGAGTGAGACTCCCCATCACCAGGGACAACATGATACTATCACCTGGACAGGTGGAAAGGTGGCAACAAGAACACAAACATCCATTTTTTAAGTTGTTTGACACTATCACATTTTTAAGTAGTTTTAACATGTATATTAATTTTTTTCTGTGCTTTACTGGGTCCTATGAAGAAAGCAAAGAATATCACCATGGTCACATGACATCAGGGACTGTAAAAGTAGTTCTGACATGTCAAAAAAGGTGACTTAATAAGGGGTTTGTTGAAACTGAATGAATACCTAGATATAATCCACAAACATGCCAGTCACCTTTTTTTTTTTAAGGGTGAGCACAGAAGTAGAAGAGGAAGATACTTACTGTCTTTTTAATTATTATATCATGGGGATAAATAGACAAATTCTGCGATACAGATAAAAACGTATAAGTGAGATAGCAATTGCCAAGTTAATGCGAGCCACCATGACACCTTTGCTGATTAACAAAAGTTTCTCTCTTTATTGTTTCATTACAGATTCATCCTCTAACAAAGAAGAAGATGATTTAGATGGCCATGCCTTCATTGCCTTTGCCAGAATCTTTAGTGGAACAGTTCGCAGAGGTTCTTGGGTATTTTTTCTAGGTCCAAAACATGATCCAGGGGAAGTGCTCTATCAGGTATCTAGCAAATATTAAGCTGAGATGAATAAAAATATTAAGTTGTCTGTCAGACATTTTGTTCATGTTATGATATGAATATAACATGCTTATTGATAAAATACAGCTGCAGTGTGAAAGACGGGTGTTTGGAAGGGCCGAATGTAAGACTGGCCTGCGTGCCCAATTTGTGACCCTTTGAAACTAAAGTTTGTTTGTTCGTTGTAGCTGAGGTGGATAACAGATATTGAGTGATATGCCAGACAAAATTGTAGCTGGTGTAGGTACAGGTAAATAAGTGTGAAGTCCATGAAGATTTATGAAACATCACAGACTGTGATATGAAGCTGCCTGAGACATTTTAGCAGCAGAGAGAAACATGATTTTCTGTACACTTACCTTCTGTAGTCATACATATTTTTATATCTTTATCTTCTTTGCATTCACCAGCTGTAAACTTCAGCAGAAAGAAACAGGATTTTCTGAACACTCTTACATTTTGTAGTCACACATATTTTAATATCTCTATTTTCTTCTTTGCATTAACGGGCTGTAAACTTCAGCACCAAGAAACTCGTGCCTTTTGCAGTCCTACATATTTTAACATCTCCATCTTCTTCTTTGCATTCACCAGCTGTAAACTTTAGCAGAAAGTTCTGGTTGTTCATCCACTTCTGGACGTTGATCTTGTTCCAGAACTTGAGTTTTGCGTGCACATCCATTTTAGAGATTTGGTTTATTTGTATGCAGACTCTTGGTTCTTCACATAACAGACAGATATCCTGTGATTTCGAAGGAAGAACCCCTAATTAGTGAATTTTCAGTCATACTTGTTGGGGGGCGGTGGGTCTCCCCCCTCCCACCTGCCCCCACACACACACACACCGATAGCAGGACACATCAGAAAAAATGGTCGCTTCCCCCATCTTTATCTACATTACTGCCTAAATTAGTATATGACTTTACACTATGGAGTGGGAAAACTGGATTGCTGTTTGCCTGGTTTATACTATTTCCTCTTTCCCTAGTGGAGTTTATTTTTTTTTTTTTTTTAGCTGTTGTCATTACAGATTCTATGATGAATGTCTTCTCCAGTTGCCACCTTTGACAGCTGAGGAACTACATTTGAAACCTGAACTCTTGGCCAGTCACCCACACATTACATCTGTGGAGATAAAGGATCTGTATCTACTGATGGGCAGAGAACTAGAAGCAGTGGAGGAGATTCCAGCAGGAAATGTATTTGGCATTGGTGGATTAGAAGGTGTTGTGGTCAAATCAGGAACCTTGTCCTCAACGTTAGCCTGCCCAGCGTTCACAGATATGTACTTTGATGCTGCCCCTATTGTTCGTGTTGCAGTAGAGCCAGCAAATGCAGGTAAGATGTTTGATGTTTACCTGGAGAGAGTGAGAGATGCCCACACAGAGATATATATATAAAATTGCAGTATGTAGTTTTTAGGCTCGAATGGGTAGATGGCTTTCTGGAAATTGCACTTCACCTCCCTCCCCTGGATCAGTATACATGAGCATGTCGGAATAAAGGTTAGTTAACCGATAGACCAGCTAGACTAATATATATATGAAGCAACATGAACAGAGCTGAATAGTGCTTAGGTCAGTGCTGTATGGACTAATATAGTTGATACTGACAAATCCCTAATGCTAACCTGATCACATGACCTGGGAAAGAAGCCTGGTTAAGCACATCTTTATCATCTTCAAAGTCAAGATCGGAGACGTTTCAGCCAACTTCACATGGGATTGGGGAACACATGTACTTTGGGGTGGCTGTTGCATCAGAGGATTGAGCAGGCAGGGGAATGTGAAATAAGTAACATCGATTGTGATAATCTAAGATATTAAATATATACATCTGTGGAGAATAATGGGCATTTAGTAAATAAGCATGCAGAGCACTGGAAGTCACATAAACATGGCTGTGCCTCATTGAGATTAGCATAGACAATCACAAATAGTTATTTAAATATTTTAAATGGGCAGGCATACAAAGTACCAAGAAGATGGACCTACAAACACTTGGTGTCACCAATAGATGATCAACCATAGAGATGAATGGAGGTGAATCTCAGGTGCTCAGAATAGTAAAGAAAAAGAAGGCACACAAAGTAAACTTTTTTACAAAGACCAGAGGAAAACCACATCGAGGCAGATTGTTTTTCAGAAATGACCTTGGCTCCTAGTTGACCCAGCTTTAAGCGGGTGCCTGGTAAATTCCTGGGAAGTAAAGATGACTTGCTTGATTTGATTTGATCATCCACTGCATGCCGATGGGTCTATAAAATGTAAGTCTAACACTATATGCCCAATACACCTGAAGGCATCAAAAAGGGTCCAGAGGGAAACAAATGTCAGGAGCCACTAGAGTATTGGGTGAACTATTAGAGCATTGAGTGAACCATTAGAGTGTTGGGTGAGCCACTAGAGGGTTGAGTGAGCCACTAGAGTATTTGGTGAGCCACTGGAGGGTTGAGTGAGCCATTAGAGTATTGGGTGAGCCACTAGAGTATTGGGTGAGCCACTAGAGTATTGGGTAAGCCACTAGAGTATTGGGTGAGCCACTAGAGTGTTGGGTGAGCCACTAGAGTGTTGGGTGAGCCACTAGAGTGTTGGGTGAGCCATTAGAGTATTGGGTGAACCACTAGAGTATTGGGTGAACCACTAGAGTATTGGATGAACCACTAGAGTATTGGGTAAGCCACTCGAGTATTATGTGAACCATTAGAGTATTGGGTGAGCCACTAGAGTATTGGGTGAGCCACTAGAGTATTGGGTGAGCCACTAGAGTATTGGGTGAGCCACTAGAGTATTGGGTGAACCACTAGAGTATTGGGTAAGCCACTCGAGTATTATGTGAACCATTAGAGTATTGGGTGAGCCACTAGAGTATTGGGTGAACCACTAGAGTATTGGATGAACCACTAGAGTATTGGGTAAGCCACTCGAGTATTATGTGAACCATTAGAGTATTGGGTGAGCCACTAGAGTATTGGGTGAGCCACTAGAGTATTGGGTGAGCCACTAGAGTATTGGGTGAGCCACTAGAGTATTGGGTGAACCACTAGAGTATTGGGTAAGCCACTCGAGTATTATGTGAACCATTAGAGTATTGGGTAAGCCACTAGAGTATTGGGTAAGCCACTAGAGTATTGGGTAAGCCGCTCGAGTATTGGGTAAGCCGCTCGAGTATTATGTGAACTATTAGAGTATTAAGTGAACCATTAGAGTACTGGGTGAGCCACTAGAGTATTGGGTGAACCACTAGAGTATTGGATGAACCACTAGAGTATTGGGTGAGCCACTAGAGTGTTGGGTGAGCCACTAGAGTGTTGAGTGAGCCACTAGAGTATTGGGTCAGATGAATCAAGAAGAAAACAGATGAGGTTAGAGATAATATTCTGGTCAGCTCTTGCAACTTGGCAGGAATGTAGATAAGCATATGAAGTAATTTGGACTGGAAATGTTTTTTAGAAAAAGCAGATCAAGATGGCTGTTGTACTTTGTTGCAGGGAAATTTTATGAATATGAAAGCAGTCACAAATATGTCTAGATGTGTCATTTGTTTGTAGAACCAGTAAGGTGTGGAAAATTTTCGAATGTTTATTTTCAAAGACCGCCATCTTTATTTTCAAATATGATAACATTTTCTAGCCAACACTGAAAATATAAATTCATTTTATTTTAGATAAGATTTCATTATTGTGGTTAACGATTTAGTTAGCAAAAGTTGTGATTGTAGATTTATTTTCACTTTTCGTTAAGAGCCGCAGTAGTTTAGTTTAATGTTTACTGTTAAGGAGGCCTTTATCTTTGTGGTGGGTCATGCAGGTGTTAGAGGAAACGAACGTACATATGATCTGGCAGACAGATAATTGTTGATCTAAAATAGATGTTCAGATAGAGATAAAAATGAATAGCTTAGATCTATATGGTTGTTCCTGGATAATTCATTTTTTAATTGAATTCTTGTCAGGTGATATGAACAAGCTGGTGGCTGGATTACGTCTGCTGAACCAGGCTGATCCTTGTGTAGAGGTCAGAATCCAAGAAACCGGTGAACATGTGATCATTGCCGCAGGGGAGGTGCATCTTCAGAAATGTATCGATGATTTAAAGGAAAGGTGAGTTGTTAATCGTGAAAACTTGTCTGTTGTATCATTATCAGATACTAATGTAAAGAACTGGTTACTCTCATTAGAAATGGCCAGTCCACATTCTTATGAATAAACATGCCATGAAAACAAGGAATCTGTATGTTGAAGCTATGGAAAAGTTGGAAAGTCTAGAAAGGAGTTTCTTAAACTTAACATTGGGACAGGATAACCCCTTTTCTAGTTTTGGTTAAAATGTATACTGTTCACACCATGGATCACCTCATGTTTGCTCTAGTTAAGAGAGACTTTGTACCTAAAAGCCACTCCATCTTTTATGGATAAAACAGGAGATGCTTACCTGCCAGTCAGGTGGTTATATGTTGTACTCCCCATGGGGTGGAGTGTTTTAAATTGGCCTGGGCTCTGTGTTAATCCAGCCTATGATGGGTGGTAGGAATTCACTTGGGAAGTAAAGACATCCAATATGATATTGACCACGTTCCAAATCATTGCTGATTTGTATTAAACAAAACAAAAAAAGGACTAGCATCATATGTCCAGCATATTTCATGGGGTGAAAACGAAGTCTCCACTTTTTCCCTGCCACTTTCATTGTGGCTTGAGAGTGATCTGACTGCATATGCTACTTTTATATGAGATTGTTTTCAAGTCTTCCAAGCATCCCGGTGTGGGTTCTGGGGCCCCATTATGGGAGGAGGGGGAACAGAAAGTAGACCTATTGCCCCCCTAACAAATATGGTTTACAGCTAGACTAATTCATGGTATTTCCTTCAAAGTCAGAGCGCATCTGCTTGAGAGGCAGTCTGCATAGAAATAAGCCAGATCTCTAAAACAGATGTGCACACAAACTCAAGTTTTAGACAAGACAAACGTCCAGAAGTGGACAAACAGCCCCAAACTTTACGCAACAGTTTATGTGATCACCAAGAAGAAATAGAAGAGTCTCCAGGTCAGTCTTTCAAGCACACTTGTAGATCTCGTTGATCAGGGTCAGACATTTAAGTCTCCTGAGCCATACAGTCAGACACAACTTCCTGTCAAAGGGTGTACTTATGGGAAAGATGGAAGCATACATGAGAAAGACAGCATGCTAGATTAACGGGCAGCATCAAGAGATGGATTGGAAGGTGCCTTTAAAGATGCTTCGCAGAATGACGGAGACTCATGACTCCAGCCTATAATGAGAAGCTGGCACTTGGCTGTTTCCCTTGTGGAAGTTACAGCAGTGGCTAGTGCAATTCCTCACCACAGTGTTAGTCTGGGATCAGTCTTCAGTTTCTATTTCTTTCTCTCTCTCTCTCTTTCTTTCCTCCCCCCCCCCCCCCCATCTTCTGTCAGCATAGCTCTTGTAGCAATTGGAATACAGAAGTCCTTCTACCGTCGCTTTATGGTGTTCACACATCAATGTTGTTGAGTGATGCTAACTATATAGTGTATTCTGTGTGAATGCAAACTGACATTGCCAACTTTTCTGAAGCATTTCTGTTTTGTAATAACTGGTGGTGGTCTACAAGTTTCAAAGACTTCTGTTTCATTTGCTCCCTTAATCTCATAATCTCAGTGGAGAATAGGTTTTCAGTCAACCCTTACAAAGCCTTATATAAACTTCATGATTAGTTGGATTTTGCAGATAAAGTTATCTACAGTTGAGCTTACATCACCCATCTTAGGGGACTCTCAAACTGTGCATGTATGTAGTGGTGCTGTTCATTGCATCCCGTACTGAAACCTAGAAGGTTATGACTTTTACTGTAATATTTTATAAATTGTCAATATATAGGTATGCCAAGGTGGAGGTAAATGTGTCCAAACCGATTGTGCCATTCAGAGAAACAATTATCCGGCCCCCCAGGACGGATATGGTCAATGAGAATATTCAGGAGCACAGTGAAGAGGCGCAGGACGATAGAGGAACTATTCAGGTAGCGTACTTACTTTGTTCATATGGGTGTGAATAATTTGTTTATGTTGGGCAAATCTCATACTGGTATTGTCGTAGCTAGCATACTTGTCTGATGGTGACATGTTGAATCCCTGTCAGGCCAGTGGTTTTTTTTTTTTATTATTGACCTTGCCACACATGTTTACCCAGTATGAAACAAAGAGAAAAATCTGTTTCTAAATTTACAAAAAAAAAAATTGAATATCGACAGTGAATACAGCATACAAAGCACATATTAAAATAGTTAAAGAAGATATTGCAAATTTCACAGATTTTGAATATTTAGGCTCACTTGTAAAGAAGAGGAAAAATACTGACATCTTGAAAGATCTGAGCATCAAGTAAGATTGGCTAATAAACAGCATCCTGTCTCGGAAGCTGAAATATTTTGGTCATATCAAACGCCATGACGGATTGGAAAAATAATAGCAGAAGGCATGGTACCAGGAAGGAGGGGCAGGGGCTGACCAACGTGAAGATGGGCACAGGATATAAGTGACTCCTTGAGTATGAAAGTGCAAGTATGAAAGTGCATGAGGCAGGAGTGCTGGCGGAGGCCAAGCTTCTTTTAGGCAGGCCGTGATGAGAGCGACGTTCTGCAAAGGACCTGCTACATGATAATGAGGCTCACTTGTGAACAATAGTGGTATTTTAGCAATGCAGAGACCCAGCCTTTATTAAATGGGTACCAGGTCATGGGAAGTAAAGGCAGTCAGCCTGATGTTGACCACATCACTCACCGAGTGCCAACTGGTCTATAAGATATACGTCTAGCTATATATGCTCAATGCGGCGTCCGTGGCTAAGGCGTTGCGAGTCCGACTCGTAAGCCAGCATACCGCGATCGAAACCCACTGCAGGCTGCGTGGATTTTTGTCATGGTATGGGACGTCGCAGGTCGACCCAGCCTAAAATGGGTACCCTGATGGGCTGTCCTGGGAAATTAAAGACAGCCGGCGTAATGCTGACCACATTACCCACAGAGTGCTGATGGTCTGTAAAAATATGGGGCGCTCTGCCCATATGCCCGATGCGCCGAAAGGCGTGAAAAGGGAACTTTACTTTTTTACTTTTTATATATGCTCAATACTCTTGAAGGCGTGGAAAAGGGTCCTTTACCTAACCTTTATATGTGAAACCAGGTTCATTTTTTTTTAAAAGTCTGGCTTCATCAGTACCTGAACCCATGACCTTCAGATCAGCAGGCAAATTTCTAGCCACCACACCACGGTGGCTCCCAAGGTATCACAAAGACCAGAATTACTGTTTAATTTCAAATGACCTCACTACCTGGATAATCTAGGACTCACTTTAGCAGGATGGTAAAGTTTATTATTTAGCTTAAGAGGTCTGAAAATTACTGGTTTTTTTTTTTTTTTTAATGCTGCTTCCACAGGTATCAACAGCTGACCGCCAGTGCCACCTGCTTATACGAGCCGCTCCAATTCCTGGCAAAATTCCAGACATACTGCTTGAAAACCAGCAGATCCTGAAAGCTTTGGACATGGCAGCAAGCAGCACAGGACGCACAGAACTACAGGTTTTTGTTTTTGTTTAGTCCTTCATGCAAACACTGTGTTGTGTTGTTGTTGTCTTCTTCTTCTGCCATTTTTCTCTCAGAGGAAGATAGGCCCTCAGTCAGTTCATGCCAGATTGTCCTACCCTTCCTTATTTCATGCAGCAACCCCCACATTGTCCATGTCTTCTTAACTTCACTCTCTAGCTCTCTAATCCATGTAGATTTTTTTTGGGAAAAGGAGGGGGGGGGGGGGGTAATCTGCCTTCATTTCTGTACGCCTGTGGGTTCCTTCCTACATCGTACAAGGTTCTGGTCTGGTAGTCTTAGTTTCAGCTTCATAGCAAACAGGTCACCCCATCTTTGCTCCTAGGTTCTAACATTCCAGGTGCCAATTCTGGAGATTTTTCTAGGTTTGTATTGTGTATCTGTTATTAAGCTTTGCGTGTTATAATTATATTTATTACCATGTATCATCATCATCAAGTACCTTGCTGACTGGCAGTAATCATGCCTCTTCACAACCTGTGATTAACAGTATGCATCAGTTCATGTGCTGGCACCCCTCCATGTCATGACAAAAGGCTGCCAGGAATCTTCTCGCATTGTCTTTCTCTGCCTCTTTTTTCCACAAATCTTTCCATTGGTCATGACACGTTCTGGTTTTTTCTTCTCATAACATTGCCCCCCACACACCACACACACACACAGAGAAATAGTCTCTATTAGCTTGGAAGAGTTCTTTTTATTTTTTTTGTAACCTCTTATGAGGGTGATTTTTTTGCCTTAATCTGTTCTTCATTTTATAAAATACAGGTTTTTTTGCCTGTCATATTCTCTTATTTATCTATTACTATTTTTTTAAAGTTGTATGTTTTACTCTCTGTGCTGAAATGATGTGCTTATAGGATTGGTATGCTACTTTTATTATGACAAGCAAGTGTATGTCTTCTGTTTATCTGTAACAATTTTGGTTATCTTCTTTATTGAACTAGTGTTTGTTAGCAAGTTTATGTTTAGCATACATTTGCTTTGTCTAATTAGTCTATTCTTCCTCTTCTTATTAGCATTCACTGGCTGTAAACTCAGGTGGAAAGTTCTGGTTATCCTCTTCTCCTTCTTATCCTTATTCTTGTTATAGAACTTAAGTGGCTTTTTTTTTTTTTCTGAACATCCATTTTACACATCTGGCAATATGTATGCAGACTCTTTTTTTCACCACCTCGCAGGCAGATGCACCCTGACTTCAGAAGACATATTTCTAATTAGTCAGTTCTTATGACATGCCCCAGAACCCACACAGAGAAATTTGTTATATTGATAAAGCTGTATGTTTTTCTAATTATATGTATGGTTAGTCCATCTAATTAGCTAATTAACTACATATTGTGTTGCTCTGTGGCTTAGAGATTAGTAAATGCACTTCACAATCTTCAGCGTAATAGGTTCAAGTTTACAAACACTTGATATCTCATTTGTTTTGTAACTTCAATACAGGTGGAATATCGACTGACTGAAATTGCTTCAGAGTCAATTAAAAGCATCAGGCAACAGCTGAAGGAAGAGTTTGACAAAGCAGGACCAGAATGGGCTGGAGCAGAGGAAAAGATTTGGAGTTTTGGCCCTAGACGTTGTGGTCCAAACATCCTCCTCAACTGCATCAAAGGTTACAACAGGCCTTCAGTGTGGCAGTCATTTGACAGATGCAGTTTAGATACTGGCCGGATTGCAGATCTGGATAACAGCATCATCACCGGCTTTCAGATGGCCACCCTCGCAGGACCTCTGTGTGAGGAACCTATGCAAGGGGTCTGTTTTATTGTTGAAGACTGGTGGTACGGGGACAGAGTGAAGCTTCCGTTTCCACATGCAGACAAGACTTCCAGCAGCAGTATATCAAAGGTTAATGCGGGTGACTGTTTAGAAGATAAAGGAAGCTGTGATACCCTCTCTGAGGATTTCAGAACCCAGGCATCATTAGTAAACAGCATACACAGTGACTGTAGTAATGACAGCGGTCATGACAAGTTTGTGCCTGGGTATGAAAGCTTTCAAACTCATAAGAGTGCATATGGGCCTCTGTCTGGGCAGCTGATCTCCACAATGAAAGAGGCATGTCGCCAGGCCTTTCAGGCTCAGCCTCAGAGACTTATGGCAGCAATGTACAGGTGTGAAATTCAGGCCACCGTGGAAGTCCTAGGTAGGTTATTTTTTTTTTTTAAATATTATTGTTTTTTCTCTATCAGACAACATTGGGTTGCTTCTCTCAACCCCCCCCCCCCCCCCCCCCCCCCCCCCCCCCCCCCCCCACCCCCCCCTCATTTTAAATATTCTTCAATTGTATACTTGTATACTTTGTTTTTGTGCTCTCACTTTCACTTAACCAAATAATCTGGAAGTTTTACTTTGTTTAATTAATTTGCTCACTCATAAATCTGCAATATATATTTTATTTGGATATTTTACCTTGATTATAAATAGTTTTATTATACCATTGTGCTGTTCTTCATTCTTCAGACAAATCAAGAATGGAAGAGGCAGAGAAAAGGGGCTGTCATTCAATATACCTAATTAGTAATCTTTGATTTTTTTTTCTTTTTTAACAATAAGTTGTAGCAAGTGACGAATTAAGGATTTACTAAAATTGGATTTGTTGGATCAAAAGACATCGATATCACAGCCCGAACTGTAAACCACAACACAACATGCCAACTGCCTTTTTAAATCTCACAGGAAACAAGATACACTATATGATAGACACATTTCAGAAATGTAGATATTGAAATTTTAATTTTTTTAATGTATTTGCAGTGTGCACATTTGCCTTATAATTTGGGGAGCAATGTAGATAATAATGTCCCTCCCTCACACATTCTCTTCCCATGTTTCTGATATCAGCAGCTGTCAGCTAAACCATCCTCCATTCCTCTCTACAGAACAAGTCCAGCATCTTCTTCCTCTTCAGTTATAATTTCCACATTCTTGGCAGTTGTCACATTGTACTCACACCCCTCTTCTCTTACACTGTGATCTTCTTCTTCTTCTTCTTCTTCTTCTTCTTCTTCTTCTTCTTCTTCTTCTTCTTCTTCTTCTTCTTCTTCTTCTTCTTCTTCTTCTTCTTCTTATTCTTCTTCTTCTTTTTCTTCTTCTCTTAGACTTCACCAGATGTAAACTCCAGCAGAAAGTTTTGGTTGTTCATCCACTTCTGGACTTTAGTAGTCTTTTTTTCTAGAACTTGGTGCAGATTCCTTGCCTCTTAGGCAGATGCACTCCGACTTTAAAGTGAACATGACTAATTGGTTGACTTTTATGACATGTTTCTAAGGGAGCAGTGGATCTATTCCCTCCCCCTCCACCCACTAGCACCTGCCTCCCAGTCTAATAGGGCGCCAGATTCAACACTGGTTACATTGTAGTCAGAACATGGGTACAGTTTTATGACTTATGTTTCATAAAGTATTCTTATAAATTGAAAATCTGTGAGTAAACTTTGTAAGTGTAAAAATCTATATCCTCAGGTAAACTTCATGGAGTTTTATCAAAACGATTTGGCCAGGTTTTGTCTGAGGAGATGCAGGAAGGCACTGCAACATTTATCATAATAGCAGTGTTGCCTGTTGTGGAAAGTTTTGGCTTTGCTGAAGACATGCGGAAGAAAACAAGTGGCCTGGCCAGTCCACAGCTGAAATTCTCTCACTGGGAGGTAAACCAAATGTTTTAGTCTTGGCTGGCAACCTTACTTGTTTGCTATTTTTGTGTGTCCTTAACCTTGTTGCCACAAGAAGACTAAATCTAGCCACTTCCAGTTGTGACAAAATCTAATAATGCTAATATGTTGACCTGTGTGAAGTGACTTGTTACTTGAAAAGCAGTTAAATTCTGTTAGTTCTATGTGCTCCTGTGCAGTGTTCAATAGGCAAGGATATGAATATAAAAACTAAAAATAGCATTTATTTGAAGCCAAGTTGATGTCAAATTTTCCTGTCAGTTTCAATGATAGAGGTCACGGCACGGTTCACCATGAGTCACCCGATATATATTGGGGTTTTTTTTTAAGCTCTGATGAATGTATTCCATTTATTGCTTCCTTATCCCTCATATTTATATATATATTTCAGGGAGGGTGGGTTGATATAGGTACATAATGTTTTCTTTTTTAATTCCTTAGCGACCTATGTAAAATGGTTGTCTTTTTAAAAATGTTTTTCCGGCAATTTACCACAGGATTATTACCTCTTTCTACATTTACAGGGCAAAATAGTTAACTTAAATAGGATTGGAAGTAAATAGTAGCTCATATGGCTGTTGACTCTATCTGTATCATTTAGAGTAATGGCCAGCTGTGAAGAAGGTGGTTGAAGTAACACGAGGGAAATAGTAAACTAGACTGGTAGATGTCTGGAAGTTAAGCTAATAGTTACAACAGAAAAGCTTCATTAATAATGTGACAGTTAGTTGATGGATTTAGAGCAAATAATGCCTTTCATGCTTTTCTTATTTTTTTGGCACTTCATTCCCCAATGGAGAATAAGCCCTCAGCCTTCTCACACCAAGTCATCCCAACCATTGCTTTTGCTTGCAGCTCACACCAAGTCATCCCAACCATTGCTTTTGCTTGCAGCTCACACCAAGTCATCCCCACCATTGCTTTTGCTGGCAGCTCACACCAAGTCATCCCAACCATTGCTTTTGCTTGCAGCTCACACCAAGTCATCCCAACCATTGCTTTTGCTTGCAGCTCACACCAAGTCATCCCAACCATTGCTTTTGCTTGCAGCTCACACCAAGTCATCCCCACCATTGCTTTTGCTGGCAGCTCACACCAAGTCATCCCAACCATTGCTTTTGCTTGCAGCTCACACCAAGTCATCCCAACCATTGCTTTTGCTTGCAGCTCACACCAAGTCATCCCAACCATTGCTTTTGCTTGCAGCTCACACCAAGTCATCCCAACCATTGCTTTTGCTTGCAGCTCACACCAAGTCATCCCAACCATTGCTTTTGCTTGCAGCTCACACCAAGTCATCCCAACCATTGCTTTTGCTTGCAGCTCACACCAAGTCATCCCAACCATTGCTTTTGCTTGCAGCTCACACCAAGTCATCCCAACCTTTGCTTTTGCTTGCAGCTCACACCAAGTCATCCCAACCTTTGCTTTTGCTTGCAGCTCACACCAAGTCATCCCCACCATTGCTTTTGCTTGCAGCTCACACCAAGTCATCCCAACCTTTGCTTTTGCTTGCAGCTCACACCAAGTCATCCAAACTGCTTTGCCATTGCTTTTGCTTGCAGCTCACACCAAGTCATCCTAACCATTGCTTTTGCTTGCAGCTCACACCAAGTCATCCCAACCATTGCTTTTGCTTGCAGCTCACACCAAGTCATCCCAACCATTGCTTTTGCTTGCAGCTCACACCAAGTCATCCCAACCATTGCTTATGCTGGCAGCTCACACCAAGTCATCCCAACCATTGCTTTTGCTGGCAGCTCACACCAAGTCATCCCAACCATTGCTTTTGCTGGCAGCTCACACCAAGTCATCCCCACCATTGCTTTTGCTGGCAGCTCACACCAAGTCATCCCAACCATTGCTTTTGCTGGCAGCTCACACCAAGTCATCCCAACCATTGCTTTTGCTGGCAGCTCACACCAAGTCATCCCAACCATTGCTTTTGCTTGCAGCTCACACCAAGTCATCCCCACCATTGCTTTTGCTTGCAGCTCACACCATGTCCTTACTACCTATCTTTCACTCTCTAGCTCCCTTCTACAAATGCTGTGTGAAAGATGGGAGTTTGGAAGGGCCGAATGTAAGACAGGCCTGCGTGCCTAATTTGTGACCCTTTGAAAATAAAGTTTGTTCATTCATTCTGCATGTGTCTTTTGGTCTGCCTTTATTTCTTTGCCCTGTGGGTTCCAGTACAAAAGCATTACAGTTATATTTTTCTCAGATTTCTCAGTGTGTGTCCTATCCAACACCAGGGTCTTTTCCTCACCTGTTGATTCACTGGAATATGTTTACTTCTCTCCCTCAGCTCCATCTCAGGGATCTATCATTCCATTTAATTCCCAGTATTCTGTGCAGGCACCAGTTAACCCTTTGGAGACTGAGCTTTTTTGGAGTTTCAGTGCCAAAAAAAAGATAAAACCTTCAGCGAAGAATTCCTTTAGTTTAGTTAGTTAGTTAGTTATTCCTCTTGTGCCAAAGATGGCGCATAGGGCAGAGGTCATAGCTTTCCACGTCTGTCGGTTCTTTGCCACTTGATGTAGGTCTTGAGTGCGACTGAGACCTATGGTTGAGCTCTCCCTTGTGATGGTTCTACGGAGAGTTTCTTTTGGTCTTCCCTGTTTTCTTTTACCCTCTGGTGACCATATGAAGGCTTGGTGGGGAAGTCTCTGTATGTCCATTCTGAGTACGTGACCGATGTAATTCCAGCGACGCTTTCTAATAAAATCAGACACATATTTTTGTTTTGTTTCCTGTCTTATAGATGTATTGGACCTAAAGTCCGACCAGTGAACATTCAATAGCTTTCGGAGGCATCTATTCTCGAAAGCGACTAGTTTCTTATCGATTGATACTGATGATTTCCAACTCTCACAACCATAAGTTAGCACTGGGATCACACAGGAATTGAGGACCTTAAGTTTCGTGTTGTTGCTGAGTGATCTTGACTTCCAAATGTTTGACAGTTTGTTAAAGGCACTTGATGGTAACGCGATTCGAGTCGTTATTTCTGATGTTGTATCTCCCGCAGAGGTTATCTTGCTCCCTAAGTATGTGAAGCTGGTGATTTTTTCAAGAACAATATCCTTTAGTTTGATGTCTTTCGACTCGTTGGTAAGATCGATGATTTTCGTTTTGGCTGCGTTGACCTGAAGGCCGATTTGGCTTGAAATATTCTGGAGGCGGTCCATTTTTTCCTGAGCTTCTAGATGTGTTGTGCTCAGGAGTGCTAGGTCGTCAGCAAAGTCAAGATCTTCGAGAACTTTGTCGACCCATTTGATGCCTAGATGTGTGTCCTGTGTGCATTTGCGCATGACCCAATCGAGTGCTATTCCGAAAAGCATCGGTGACATTCCTTTAGTTTACACACCCAAAATTATAAAAACGTAAATTGCGTAATTAACATCTACAAAACTATATATATATTCAGGAAGGAAAATGAATGAACTAATAGAACATGTTTGAATCAAACTGAAATCTCAACATTTATTCAAATTAACTATTATGATTTGCATAATTTATGCAGGCATTTTTTTTTTATTCAACTTGAGATCAAACATGACTAACCTGAAAAATTTTGGTGAATTTTTTAAATGGATGAAGCCTGAATAAGTCCTAAGACTTGTGTTTTGGGGAAATAAGGTCCATGGAGGCGGTTCAGACACTTCTGACACATGGTTCTACTCATTTTTATGCCTTCTGCTATGTTTCGGTTGCTATGACGCAACATGACTTTTCGCGGTCGTTGGGCACAGGTAAGCCCACCAAAAAAATTGCTGTAAAATTGCAGAACACATCAAACTTTCTCAAAAGCATCATTAAACCCACATGTGCAAGAAATGCGAGAAGCAATCTGATTGGCTGGTACTAAAACCTGCCAGCCAATCTCAAGGCTTTTATTACACAAGGCCGACCGATCATTCCAGCCGTCCTTTTGGCTACTTTGCTTTGGGCTGATATTTCGGCCGTGTCGTCTCCAGAGGGTTAATGAAAGTTTTTAGTTTATTAGTAATTAATTGATTTTTACTGCTTCAAAAGTAACGGCCAACTTTGAAGAAGGTGGTTACAGTAGACTAGACCAGCACATATCTGGAAATTAAACTAATAATTAGAACAGAGAGGCTTAATAATCAGTGGACAGTTGCTAATTGATTAATAGCAAATAATGCCTTTTATGTTGCTCAACATTAAAGTCAGTTTACCTATTTGGCAGCCTGGTGCACTTACTCATTACTCTGGATGTGTCCTGCTAGACATATGGTTCTAAATCCATGTTTAAAACCAGTTAGCTAACAGTTGGGGGGTCATGTGGTCAAGGTTGGGGTGTCCTGTACATTTTTCTGGTTTCTGCATTATTCTAGTATCCATACCTATACTGTGGCTGTGACAAATGGCCATTTTTTTTAAACAGTTCCGTAGCAGACTGATAAACTATCTGTGTGTTACTAGGTCCTTTAGGGGAGCCTAACAAAAGCAACATTGTAGCCTAGCAAGCATTTAATCAGAGGAGACTAAGGAGAGTTGGTCTTGGGGTTGGCTGTCCAATCATGTAAGAAGTTTCAGCTAAAAAAGCCAACTTTTCTTCTTCTGCATTTACCCTTATAAGGGGTGGTTGGCACTTTGTTCAGCGGTTTACAGCTAGGCTGCAATATCAGCACCTTTCAGCTCGACAGATCTGATTTCAGCAAACTCAGCTTTTTGATAAGAAACAATGGGTCTGGTCTCAGAAGGTGGTGGGGGGGGGGGGGGGGGGGGGAGAGGAGGGGAGGATCAACTGTTAATAAATGTTACAGAATAAATAAGAATTACTCAGCCAAATCAGAAACAGGAGAGACACTTTTCCTAAAACTAATAAATAACAGAGATGTATCGAGATCTAAAAAAAGAATTAGAGAAATTTACAAATGTGGGGGAGGGGAGCTGCAAGAGATGGCGAAAGATTATAGGACCTGGTGAGAGTTAGGAGGGGTGGGAGAAATAAAGAACAGAAGAAGAAGTGCTAGTGAGTGTGGAAGTCACAGATAAACACTTCCTCATCTTTGTCATTCATCTGAGTGACGTAATTGCATTTTTCTAGTTTACAGCCTAGCTGCAATATTTGTGCCTTTCAGATGAGGCATCCAGCTTCATCAGGCATTTGTTGTCTGGGTTAGCCTTCCAGTTAATTCTGTGGTTCACTTGGTAAATACTGTAATCCCTAAATAAAGTGAAGGTCCCTTTTCCACGCCTATAGGCATATAGGACTAGATCGGCACAAGATGGGTGATGTCCGAATCATGCCGGCCGCCTTTACTGACTTAGACTGCACCCGGTACCCACTTAAGGCTGGGTCAACCTGGGAGTCAAGGTCATTTGTAAAAAAAATTCCGACTCCGCCAGGGAGCGAACCCACGACCTTCCAATCCGCACGCGAGCGTCTGGCAGCTATGCCCTAAGGCATATTTCAGCATTCTAATAATTTTTCCTTCTACAGGTGTTACCTGTCGACCCCTTTTGGGTGCCCACTACAGAGGAAGAGTATGCACACTTTGGTGAGAAGGCTGATGCTCAAAACAGGGCTAGGGTCTACATGAACCAGGTACGGAAGCGCAAGGGCCTGCCCACAGATGAGAAAATTGTGGAGTTTGCAGAGAAACAGAGAACTCTTACCAAAAATAAATAACTTTTACAAAGAAAGACAGTAAAATAAAGAACGAAGAAAGATAGTAAAATAAAGAACGAAGAAAGACAGTAAAATAAAGAACGAAGAAAGACTAAAAAATAATGTTTCAGGAGACAGAACACTTTTTAATTACCGTGCTGATTGTTCCTTATTTATTAAATTATAGATTGAAAAGCTATGGTAGGTTTTCAACTTCATATGCCTTTGCAGCAGGAATCCTCTTTTTCTTTGCATTTACCGGCTGTATACTCCGGCAGAAAACTCTGGTTTTCGTCCATTTCTAAACTCTAGTATTATTCAAGAACCTGAGTTGCATGCACATCCATTTTACAGATCTGGCTTATCTGTGTGCAAAATGTTGGTTTCTTGCCTCTCAGGCAGATGCACTCTGACTTTGAAGTATGCTCCCAATTTGTTGACTCTGACAACATGCTTGTTGGGGAGGCAGTGGGTCTGTACTTGTTTTTCTCACAATGGATCCCTGGAACCTAGACAAGCTCAGCTGGAATGAATGATCATACTTCTCCACAACTCTTTCTTTCTAGTTATATTTTTTCTGTTAACTATTAGTATTAAGTAGTCACTTGAAATGGCTCAAAAATCATCCTGAGATTACCAGACATCAGCGACCAGGTCACTCATTGGCTGGCTGGCTGGCAGACAACTTCACGGCAGGTCAGGACAGTATTTGGGTCAGTCTCCTTTGATCGCATCAACACTGCAATAGTCATTTTCAAGGCAACTTTGTGGTGAGCAATGCTAAGCCATTTTATCTGGCGCAAATAACATAATCACAATTATCACCTAAAGCTCCCCTTTTGGGGATGCTGGTTGAATGTGACGATTTTTTTTTTTCAAAGTAAGCCAAGATTACCAGACTCCACCTAGAACCAGGTATAAGGCTCTTAATCCAGTTCATGTTCCTACAAGTCTCTTCAGATACTGTTGACATGGTGGAACTATAAGCTATAAACCTATGTCAGCCTGGGGCAGTGGGCGGCAAGTCATGGCCCAAAATGTACTTTTTTTTAAAAGTGTTAGTAAAATGGTTGTTATTAAGTGAATATGTTGTTTTCTTTGTCATGAAATAAGACTGTCTAGTATTTTCTGTGTGACACCCACAATAAGATTGTCTAGTATTTTCTGTGTGACACCCACAAAAAGATTGTCCAGTATTTCTGTCTGTCACCAAAGAATAAGACTGTCTACAGTCCCTGAAACACAAGAATAAGCTTATTAACCCGCTTGCCTCACTGTCTGTTCAACCTCTTCTCTTTTTTTCTGCTCACCAGCTGTAAGCTTTGGCGGAAAGTTCTGGCTGTTCATCCCTTTAGACTTTGGCTATGTGCCAAGACCTGAATTTAGCTTGTGCACCAGTTTTACTGGGTTTTATGTGTGCAGTTGGTTGTTCCTTGCCTCTCATGTAGATGCACTCTGACTTCGAAGGAAGTCTCTAATTAGTCGACTCCTACAATATGCTTGTTGGTGATGCAGTGGATCTATTGTTTTTCCTGCAATATGACCCCGGAACCCACACGGGGCTGTTCCATTTCTGACTTTACGAATGCAGGTTTTCTGTGATTCCTGAAGGTCATCGCTCACTCATAGAGTTTCTTGCTGTGTGCAACACTCCCAGCCGGTGGTCAGACACACTGCAGAGAGAGACCAACCCAACTCACATGTGCCAGCTGTGACCTGTTCTGTAGAACTCTTGACTGCCAAGAAATATTCTCAATGAAGCGATTTTAAAGAGGTTGGATCAGTGGTGCAGGGACTAAAACACTTGGACAGAAACATACGGAAGTTGAATATGAATATGGACATAGAGTCAGATATGACAGACAAGACACAGCAGTTTTGTGATGACTAGTCCCAGTGTGCACACGCTTTGACTCCATTTCCATGTCCTGGTTGGTATATATGGGGGTACAGACTGGAGCTGCCAGATATAAATATTTCCAATTCCGATTCCTTTTAAGAAAAAAATTAAAAGGTCGACCACTTTCAGACTGCTACTAGCTAGCTGAGGCTGCTAACAGTCTCCGCCTATATTTGTGGTCTGGGTTATTTGCGTCACTTTCATGACTAAATTCTAGTATTTGTGCCGTTTCTGGGCTTAATGCTTCCTTCCAATTTAGACCGCTCGTCCTCCACCCTGTTGTTAGCTGTGCATGTCTTTCCTCTTCTTACTTGGTGTTTCCTCTTGGTTTGGTCTCCCTCTGATTTGGCCAGGCATATTTCGTAGGAGAGCAATCTCTTCTACTTTACGTCCTTTGGACCACCATTTACAGTTTTAAAATTTTGAGCATTTTATTTTGCCAAAAAGTACTGAAAACAGTTTTTGATTTTGGATAGTTTCGAAATGTAAAAGTATTTCGTGTGTGACCATAGTGGTCTTATAGTTGTCTTCCTACAATAAGAACAGGTTAGTCATGTCGTTGAAATGTGTGTGAAATGTTGTGTGGAGCCTCAAAACAGGTCTATTTGTCATTTGTTAGTGTGTGATACAGTTGTGTGGGTTTGGGTTGGCAGCTAGGCTCCGGTGTACGTAAATACCATATACCCGGAGCACCCAGCTCACGCTTTGAGTTCCAAATGTTCGGCGATGAGAATTGCTGTGGCATGTGGGGTAAGGGGCCAAGTCATTTAAATAATCAGCACAGAATGAGTGTCATTGGTCATTTTATTACTGAGGGGCAGATCAGAGCACCAATGGATATGTCCAGAGTACTCTGATGGTAGCCCTCACTAATCACACATTTTGAGCAGCCAATTTTTATGATAGTATTGCTTTCATTGATTTGATTATTGTATGTTTTAAGTGTGTATGTTGAAACTGAGCTGAATTGTTTTTAACTGAAATTGACAATGTCAGTGTTGCATACATATTTTGTTTTAAAATGACTGTGTTGTGCGATGCTACCATTGTGACGTGTGTACCAAACGTAGCGAAACGAGAACTCTTTTTAAAGTTCCATTTGTGTATTGACAAATGGCAATGATCAACACAAGGATAAAATATGCAATTAATAATCAAGCACATCAACAAAAGCCCGCTCGTACATCCATGGACTGATATGTCCTCATGATAGGTCGCAGTCCGACCTTGAGATCTAGACAGTTAAAAGCCCGCTCGTACATCCATGGACTGATATGTCCTCACGATAGGTCGCAGTCCGACCTTGAGATCTAGACAGTTATCTTTGTCTTCGGACAAGTCCGAATTAAGCAATGAAAGTATACCGGCTTACTGCCAAACTGTGACAATTTACCAGCTTCCTGCTGAGGTCTATATTGGAGTCCCGGGGTAAAACGTCCTCAAGGATCCAACTTTATACCACGTTTGCTTCCGTGGGATCCCGGGGTAAAGCGTCCTCGAGGATCCACACGTTTGTCTCCTTCGGACTGTCAACATCAACTGCAAATTATACCGGCTTACTGCCGAACTGTGGCATCCCGGGGTAAAACGTCCTCAAGGATCCACCGTGGCATCCCGGGGTAAAGCATCCTCAAGGATCCACACCAAGGCCGGACCACCGTCTGCCTTGGTCAAACTTCGACTTTCATCTCCTAGAATACAATTCCTTCACAATCTGATGTATTGTTTTGACGTCTTATTTGCTCACTCAGTACTGGTGCGTTCTGGTGCACATCCGCACGCGACAATGACACAAAGTAAATATTGGTTTCATTACATAAATGTATTGTTAATTCTCTGTGAAAACCGTTCCAAAATTGATGGAATGTTCTACCAGCTATGAACTTTGCAATTTTTAAAATCATAAAATTTTAAATCATAAAATATTCTCCTCTTCCTTTTCTTCTTTGCTTTCAAAGGCTGTAAACTCTGGTTGTTCATCCATATCTAAACTTGGTATTTTCCCAGAACTTGAGTTTTGTGTGCACATCTGTTTCACAGATCTAGCTTATTTGTGTGCAGATTGTTGCTCCTCGCCTCTCATGCAGGTGCAGTCTATTTCACAGGAATAAAATATTCTCATCTCTAGCAGTAAATTCTGATAGTGTCCAGTTCTGTTACTTTCTGCTTGTTTACGACTGGGTGATAAATGGATGCATTACAAGTTTGATTTATTCAAGGTTCTTTCTAAGAAAGGGAACTGCTCGGAAGTGCATGTAGATCATTACAGACAAGAGTTAATGGTGCGCTTTGAGTTTTTAAGAGATCTGGCTGGCACTGAAGCCTCAGAGGAAAGGTTTAATGGTCATGTGGATTATTACAGTCAAGAGATAATGGTGCAGCAGGAGTGACTAGCAGATCTGGCTGGCAATGAAGTCTCAGAGGAAAGGTCCGATGGTCATATAGATCATTACAGTCAATAGAGAATTGTGCAGCGGAACTGACTAGTACAAGGTCCCATAATTAAGTAATGAGACTGATTTTTTTATGGCCAAGACAAAAACACCGTCTATGAATCAAAGCATGGAATACATAGAGGCAACCTTCTTCTATGATCTGGCAACTTTTCATTGCTGCCCGATAAGCAAACATCAAACAAGCAGCTATTTTGTTAACCTAGTCAGAGGTGCATTGTTACGTGATCAGCATGGAGCCACAACAACAAAAAAAAGCTAACATTAATTTCTGTTGAAAACTCAGAAAAAGCGCCATCGTGACAGTTGAATTGATGGAACAAATTTATGGGAATAATTGTTTATCTCGAGCACAGATTTTCAGCTGGTATTCATAATTCAAAAGTGTTGTGAAAATGATTACTAATGCAACTAGACCTGGACACCCAATTTCTGTTCGTAATGAGGAACTCATTGCAAAATTCTGAGAACGGATATAAGATCATTGTTTGACTGTGAGGATGATGGTAGATAGATGAATTTGGTATTAATACAGAGACTATTCATACAATTTTAGTGGAAGATTTGGGCAATAAAAATGTTGCTTGTCGGTTTGTATTCAACACCTGGCAATTTTTTTGCTTCTTCATGACAATGCACTGGCTTAAAGGGCGGTTGTACATGAATTT